ACCACATAAGCAAAAAGAAAAAAGCCGGAAGTGGCACTGTGGCTCAAGTGGTAGAGCGCTTGCCTTGAGCTGAAGAGCTGAGGGACAACTCCCAGGCCCAGAGTTCAGGCCCCATGACCAGACACCCCCCCAAAAAAATTTTTTTTTCATATTTAATTATGAACATTATGACAAAGTACATAACAAAACACAGCCTGCAGAAAACAGCAAGTTTATAAATCAAGTTTTTGATAATTCACATAGTAACTGAAATGAAATTGTTCAATGTGTTATTTTATAAACTTGTTAATATTAAAACTGCAACCTGAATTCATACCTCCATTGCTTTTGGATTTTATAAGTAATTATTCTGCTTTATCATTTTAAAATGAAAAATACGTTTTTGGGTTTTAAATGCATTCCATTATATGTCGGTTGAAATTTTACTAAATAACAAGAATTTTTCAGTATGAAATAAGTTAATTTGCTGTATTTTTAAGCATATAAATATATTTTTCTCTTTTTTATAGCTGGAAAGAGATGCATATGTCCAGGCACTAGCAAGATTTACATTACTTACAGTGAGTTCTGGTATTACTGAAATGAAACAGAAGAATATTGACACAATAAAAACACTTATCACAGTGGCTCATACAGATGGAAATTATTTAGGAAATTCATGGCATGAGGTATAAACATTGTTAACTTTGCAGTTTGGTTTATGTTTATGTACTAATAATTATTCTATCCCTGATATGCTTGAATGTTTGGGGGAAATTAGTACATTTACATTTATATAATACATTTACATAAATGTATTTAGCTTTTTATATTAATAATGTGTGTATCCAGCCTTCACACATACAAATACTGAGTATATTTTTAACATAAAATTAATTTTTTTCCTTTTTTTTGTAATTAAGATTCTGAAGTGCATCAGTCAGTTGGAACTGGCACAACTTATAGGAACTGGAGTAAAACCTCGATACATTTCAGGAACAGTGAGAGGCAGAGAAGGATCTCTTACTGGAACAAAAGATCAGGCTCCTGATGAATTTGTGGGTCTAGGATTAGGTAAGAAGATTGTACATTCTTTTTTAGATATCAAAGTTTTTTTTTAACATCTTCATTATAAATCACCTTTTTGTAGCAGTGAAATAAAATTAGGGAAATTAGACAAAATAACGTCTAACCCTTTGAGGAAAGCAAAATGCCTAGTAGGGAATGTAGTATTTTTTTGCTTAGACTTGTTTGCTACAGTAAAGCACTCTTCAGTTTCCTTGGGCTAGGAGAACAGTGATGGTAAAAAACTTGCTTTTAAGACTAAGCAGATAAGTGTTGAAAGTCTAGTATGAAATAATTGATAATTGGGGCAACTACTGAAAACATTTATGTTCTATACATTTTTTAAAGACATAGTCCTTACTCTTGGCCAGTACAGAAATTTCCTGAATGTTCAGAATGACTAGAAAATACCCATATTTAACCCAAGAAAACAAAAGAAAATGTTAACATAGTTATAAAATATTCTGTCAGTACATTTTTAGTCATAAATAATTATTTCAGTAAGGGAGAAGCAAAGTTTAGACTTGACCTTTGAATATAAAAGAAATATAAATACAAACACACACATCCTAGTCTCTTAACATTGAGGAAGTTTTTGTTTAGATGGTGCTGGCAGTCAAAATCATGACTCATTCTCGCTAGCCTCTACCACTAAATGATACCTCCAACACTTTTTTGCACTGGTTATTTTTGACGTAGTCTTCTTTCCTGCCCAGATGCACACCTGGACTATAATTCACTTAACCTGTATTAGGTTTGCTGTCAGAGTTGGGATGACAAGTGTATACCACTATACTCAACTTCTTTCTATTGAGATAGAGTCTTGCAGACTGGTCTGCCAGGACTATCCTAGAACTGGTCTTCTCAATTTCAGCTTCCCACATTGTTCAGATAACAGGCTCATTAGCATTCTACCTAGACTAGACAATCTCAGCCTTTCAAGTAGTGTAAATTACGGGCATTAGTCACTGATTCCTGGCTAGGGAACTTTAAATCTGGGTGAGAAGGCAACAATAATTTATGTGGAACTGTCTGTAAATAGTATAATGTAGAGGAATCCTTCTTGTGAACTCACATTGGACTTTGATAGGTAAATTTTAAGAGACAGCATAAATAGTAACACATACTAGTTAAAAATGTTGAGGGGAAGTATCTTCAGTGTTAAGCTGAAGAGTTTATACCTTATCCCAAAAGTAAGTACAGTAAAGGTATTGAGTTAGTACTAATTTGGTAGGAGATAGAAGAGAAGGGAATAATTAATGGAGGGAAATCAGTCTGGTGATTGTTTCTGAAATCCAAGACTAAAATTATGAGGGCCTAAACTAAGTAGGATGAAAAGCAATAGAAATAAAAAATAAGTCAAAGGGAAGGTGTAGTGACTAATTGAATTAATGATGGAGAAGCAAAAAAAAATGCCACAATTGATTTTAAGATTAAGGATCTGAAAACTAGAGATGATGTTTTATACTGTCTAATATACAGAATCTAGGGAAAATGTAAATGAATATTTTGAATGAGAGAATTTTAGAGCACACAGGTAGAATTTTCAATGCATTTAGAAATAAGAGAATTCAAGATTAAATAATAGAGAAACTCTAACATATAGAATTGGATTCATCCACAAAAGGCATCATTACAATAAATGGAAGATAATACTTTATTTCTTAAGTATTAAGACTAATTTTGTCTAATACCATTAACTCCTAATTTGTGTGATTTTTGTAAACATGCCTTATACCATGTCTTCTTTATTATTTAGTATCTCATGAAACACATTTGTCCTGTCACAGATGCCAAAAAGAATGATCACTTAAAGCCTTGATGCTTTTAATTTAAAAAATAAATGCTTTTAGAACTAATTTTTAGAACTATGAGTGTGTTTTTCCACTGAATTATTTTTAAATTAAAATTACTCTGTTTTATGTGTGATAGTTGGAGGAAATGTGGACTGGAAGCAGATAGCGAGTATTCAGGAATCCATTGGAGAAACCAGTTCTCAAAGTGTTGTTGTTGCTGTAGATAGGTAAGGTATTCATTTTCTTTTTGATTTTGAGATGACAGCAGTTTGAATTTTTCAATGTTTAGTTGTAGTTTAATCACTGGTAAACTTTACCAAAATAAATAAGACTATATTGAGTTATGTTGCAATTTCAGTGAAGTACTGTAATTTTTTCTTCATTGTTAGAATAGGATGGAAGTAAATGGGATGAAAATTTAAATTAAAATAGATATGAGCATTAGGGAGTGTTAATCTTGATGGAAAAAAACATAAATGTTTTATTTTCTGTATAGAAACGTATTCTTATTATCACTCTGAAAATTCAGGGTAATTTATCTTTTATGATTACATGATGTAAAACTGCATTATGATACAAGTGAAAGTATTACTGGAAATCATTATAAGCTTCTTTGGGAAGGACTTTAAAATTGTGTATTATATACATTATTATTGATTTTGTTTTCTAAAAGAAATCACACACTGTGATTATTTTACTGTGGAATATTTCAGATTTTAAAATGCCCAGCCTATAGAACTAATCTTGTAGTATTCATTTGAAGATTAGCTATGTCGGAATAAATGCTTCTCAGTTGAAACACTGACATTTAGTTTTTTTGCTTTTACTACTTTTTATGGAAATTTCAAAAAGTGTATGCCATAATCTTTTTTCAAATGCCCTAGAGATTCATAGTGACTTGTTATTTATTTCAGTAACTTTTTGCATTAAGAAAGAACTAAAAGGGGCTGGAAAGATGGCTCAGTGGTAGAGCACTTGCCTTGCATGCCTGAGGCCCTGGGTTCGATTCCTCAGTACCACATAAGCAAAAAGAAAAAAGCTGGAAGTGGTGCTGTGGCTCAAGTGGTAGAGCGCTAGCCTTGAGCTGAAATGCTGAGGGACAGCGCCCAGGCCCAGAGTTCAGGCCCCACGACCAGACTCCCCCCACCCCACCCCCCAAAAAAATGAACAAAAATATTCAATAATTACTGACCCTGAAAGTATTCCCTGGAATATTTTCCTTGAAAAATAATTCCTGAATTTCACTTGCTGCATTTTTTTTCTTTCTTATTATTTTCTAAAGTAGTGGGGTCATTTCCCTTTTTTTGAAGATTGAAGAAAGGTGTGTATTTCTTATGCCTATGATGTAAGGGACACTTTATATGTTTTGCACATATATTTTACTTCATTTAATCCTTTCAGTAGTCTCATGAGATGAGTATTGTTGGTGTTTTCAGCTCACATAAACAGGTCTTGATTCCCATAAATCATGTCTTGGTTATTACAATAACTGTTATATTCTTTAATCCATAGAGAATTTTGAGCAGTGAGAGATTGTCTACCTATCAGGCCAACCTGTTTCTGTTTGTGTACTCTTCTCTACCTTTCTGCATATATGTATATCTTCAGAGCCATGTTATTAAATAATGAGGATATGTTTAGTCATTATGAGACTATTCAGGCAAGGTTCAGTGTTATTCCTACAACTTCTGCTTCCATGATAATCTTTATACAACCTCATCTATTTCTAATTTGACCTTCTATCCATTGTTTGGTACAAGGGTTATGTATAACTGACATGAACAAAATATGTCTCCCTTTTTTAAGAATTTGTGGCATTTCTGAGAAAACATTGTACAAGTTGTGTTAGTACACTGTTACCTCCAGCTTACTCTAGATATTTCTATAGGCATAAATCTCCTATCCAATATTATACAAAATCTCAATGTTTCAAGTTTTAACTTATCACAAAAAGGTGACTCTTTAATTTAGTATGTGTTTATTTGGGGTGATAGATTTCACAATCTTATTAAACTTCTCTTTGAATATATTATTTTACTTTCATCTTGTATTCCAGTCCTGGACAATAGCTAACTCATTGAACACTGGTTCTCAAGACAGCCTGTTGTCAGGCATCACCCTGAAGACTTCTGTACTTAACTCATTTTTTCCCCATCTTAGATTTATTGTTCTGAATATTATAGTCAATTATTACAAATATAAGAACTAAACAAGGGAGACTTAAGTCTATATTTAAATTCTTTATAGTTTGTTTCTTAGCAAACAAAAAATAATTCTAGTCAGGTGCCAGTGGCTCACACCTTTAATCCTAGCTACTCAGGAAGCAGATACTTGAGGATAAAGGTTCAAAGCCAGCCGAGGTAGAAAAGTCCATGAGACTCTTTCCTCCAATTAACCATCCAAAGGAAGTGGAACTGTGGCTCAAGTAGTAGAGAGCCAGCCTTGAGCAAAAAAGCTCAGGGACAGTGGCCAGTCCCTGAGTTCAAGCCACACACACACACACACACAGTGGCCAGTCCCTGAGTTCAAGCCACACACACACACTCCCTGAGTTCAAGCCACACACACACACACTCCCTGAGTTCAAGCCACACACACACACACACTCCACTTAAGTTTTAAGGTGATTTTCTCATCTCCTTGCTTTTTGTGGAAATTTTGTACCATGAGAATTTAAGAAAATACTAGACTTTTTAATCTGGTAGTATCTAGCATTTGCTGGATTAGTAAAGTATTCTAGGCATTGTTAAACTTGATAAATATTACTGAACTGTGTACAAAACAGACTGTCCAGTAATGTTTTACTTGTACTTGTGAAAGTTAAAAAAAGTTACCTATCTCATACTCTGGATCATTGTAGTTTAATCACTGGTAAACTTTACCAGGAATATAGTCTGTTTGTGCATTGAATACAGTTTATTTCTGCAAAAATGTTGCCAAACTTTTCTTTTTTTCATTTTTCCTTTGCAGTTTTTAGGCCATGTCTTCTAATATTAATAATCAAGACTCTTAACCTGTTTCTTTTATAGTGTTCATTGCTTTTCATATAGAAAAATTATAAATTTGATTTTGTGAAATCCCAGCAAAGACTGTTATATTCTGCCACATATCTTATCTTTAGTAGAACATTAGAAGTAGTGTAGACTACTGCCTGCCTGGGATAACATCGTAGGGATTTGAATGCCATGTTCAGGATCACTAACTTCCACTGTACTCTCAGTCAGCAGAACCTGACTGTGAATGTAGCTCTGTGTCCTTGGCCATTGTTTGCCACCATTTCGCCACCTTTAGCTTATTGGATAGTCTCCATTTCTACTTCTATTTTTTACTCCTGTACATTTTGCCATTTACTTTCTTCTCAGTTAAAAGTAAATGCTTTCTTGTTTATATTGTCATTTTCTGTTGTTTCCCCTATACCATTTAACTTGGACTCATTGTGGAGTGTTTATAATATTCACTTTATAAGTGGTAGCTATTAGTGTTATTATAATTATCTTTAAGTTTATTGTTTGACCTGCCTTTCAGGTTTCCTTTTATCAGGTAAATTCTGTCATATGCATTTTAAGATGAAGACTACTGTTCAATCTGTTAACAGCCACATAACCTTGTTTACAAAAATTAGAACATGGGTATAAATGCAGACTTTTTTTTTTTCTTTGGTTGTGGGGCTTGAACTCTGGGCTTGGGCACTGTCCCTCAGCTCTTCAGCTCAAGGTGAGTACTCTACTGCTTGAGCCACAGTGCCACTTCTGGTTTTTTAGTGGTTTAATGGAGATAAGAGTCTCACGGACTTTCCAGCCTGGGCTCACTTTGAACTATGATCCTCAGATCTTAGCCTCCTGAATAGCTAGGATTACAGGCATGAGCCACTGGCGCCCGGCTCAAATTGGTGAGGTAAGGCGCCAGTGACTCACGCTTGTAACCCTAGCTACTCAGGATCCTGAGATCTGAGGATTACAGTCCAAAGCTAGCCTGGGCAGGAATGTCCAATGTCCATGAGACTCTTCAGTTAACTAACAAAAAGCCAAAAGTAGAGGTGTGGCCCAAGTGTTAGAGCACTGTCCTTGAGTGTGCCCAGGTTTCAAATTTAAGCCTTGGAATAGGTGTATTCACAAAAAAGGAAAGATGAATATGTTTATGTGAAAATCTTTTATGAAACTGAAACACAGAAAAAAACAACAAAGCAGATTGGACTATAGCGTATGTTAACCCTAAACCTTTGAATGCCCTAAAAAAAGTGATTTTGCCTCTTTAGGTTAAATTGAGACCAAGAGCAGTTTGTTGAATTTTCTAATCAAATGTACATCACTTACAGAAATAGAATATAATTTTTAAGAACTTGCTTATAAACTAGTAGATTATCATGAAAAATTGAAGTCTTTTATTAATAATATTTTACCAGTTCATTGGTTTTACAAAGAAATATTTTTCTTATTTTTTAAATACCATAAGATATCTGTATGGTGTTTATAAATTTAGTAATAAAATTACAGCACTGTACACTTATTCTAGTAACATTAATGTACGAGGGAGAAAGAGCCAAATATACTTGTTATTACTAAACTGTAAGGTGGAAAATTTACTCATTTGGGACAGCATAGGAATGGAAGAAGGGAGGATAAGCAAATATAGTCATTATATTCAATGTACACTATATAAAAATGGAACTATGTAACTTGAGAGTAGGGACAGATGGGGATAAGAGGGGAGAACAAAGGAAGGAGTGATATTGACTAAGAAATAGTGTACTTATAACCTGACTTATGGAATTGGAGCCCCTTTGTAAGCTACCAGATAATAACAGTAATAATAAATATACTCATTTGAATACTTGATTTTTCTCTCCTCTTAACAGATAGAAATGGCTACTATTCCAAGCCACTTACTTTTGAATTGATGTAGCAAAAGTAAGACTTTTTAAGTTCCTAAACCGTATTTTATTCTCCCCAGAATATTCACAGGATCTACAAGGCTAGATGGAAATGCTATTGGTAAGTGCATGTATTCATTCTACTTAGAAACTGACTTTTAACCAAGACCATTTAAAGTTGAACTAAAAAATTTAATGTATTTATGTTGTAGTGGATTTTGTTCGTTGGCTCTGTGCTGTGTCTATGGATGAATTACTTTCCACTACACACCCAAGAATGTTTAGTCTACAAAAAATAGTAGAAATATCATATTATAACATGGGAAGAATAAGATTGCAGTGGTCTCGGATTTGGGAAGTTATTGGAGATCACTTTAATAAGGTATTTGAATAAATTTATTTGTACTAAAACCTTAGGAGATTTTTTAAATTTTCTACTCATAATACAACTTTTTTCCTTACAAGCAATTGTTTATTACTTTTTCATAATTAAATTTAGCAAGGCATCCAAGAATGTTAGCTGATACCTATAATCCCAGTACTCGGAGGATAGGGAGGAAATCCCAAGTTCAAGATCAAGTCCAGAGTTGGCTACACAGCCAAGACCTCTCAAAAAAAGAAAGAAAGAGAGGGAGGGATGGGGGGTGGGAGGAAGAAAAAGAAAAAAATACAGACAGGAAAGAGAAAGAGAGGGGAAGGAAGGAAGGAAGACAGGGAGGCAGGCAGGCAGGCAAGAGAACGAGACTGGAAAGAAGGGAAGAAGGAAAAGAAGAAACAAACAAAAAAGATCTTGAAGCATGTTTGTTCTAAGGCAAAAAATAAAAGCAGTATATGTTTTCACCACTGACATTAAAGTTTTACTGTAACATTGTTGTTACTGTTGTCATCACAGGTTGGCTGTAATCCTAATGAAGATGTCGCTATTTTTGCAGTAGACTCCTTGAGGCAATTGTCAATGAAGTTTTTAGAGAAAGGGGAGCTTGCAAATTTCAGATTCCAGAAGGATTTCTTAAGACCTTTTGAACATATAATGAAACGAAACAGGTACTATGATTGTTAAGTTGAATAATATCAGAATAGTCTTACTACTTTCCATGACAGAGGGAACAAATAAGGGGGGGGAAAGGCTGTTGAGTTTCATTGGTATGCATATCTAAACAATTACATTGAAATTTTAGGTCTCCAACAATTCGAGATATGGTTGTACGGTGTATAGCACAGATGGTAAATTCTCAAGCTGCTAACATTCGGTCTGGATGGAAGAACATTTTCTCTGTATTTCACCTAGCTGCATCTGATCAAGATGAAAGCATAGTGGAACTTGCATTTCAAACAACAGGGCACATTGTCAGTGAGTGTTCTTTTCACTGTGTTCAAGTATTAAAAAAAAGCTTAATGTGTTCAGATGATAAATACAGTAAGACTATGGGTCTATTACAGGCTTAAAAGTTTACAGGATTTGTAAAACCAAAATAAGCCATAATTGTATTGTAAATAGTATTTATAATATCACTGTCATTTTTTATGTATTTTCTCTATTCCATGATATTAGTATCTTATCCCTTTCTTATTTTTTAAAGTGATCTTAATAGATTGGGAAACTGACCTAGAGAAACAAGTAATCTGCCCAAGGTGATAGAATTAGTAAGAGATCTAGAATATTAAAATTATGAGTAAAGCCTCTATAGAAGATGGTGATGTTGACTATTGGCAGCATCAAGAATCATGGCATCACCAAAGCCATCATTTATTAAGTGCTTATTTGAGCACCTGATATTTATAATTTATAAAACATTTGTAAGTAATACTTTCCTGTGAGAATAGTTATCCTCATTTTGTACATCAAGAAATAGAGACATTGAAGCCGGGCGCCTGTGGCTCATGCCTATAATCCTAGCTACTCAGGAGGCTGAGATCTAAGGATCGCAGTTCAAAGCCAGCCCAGGCAAGAAAATCCGTGAGACTCTTATCTCCAGTAAACCACTAGAAAACCGGAAGTGGTGCTGTGGCTCAAGTGGTAGAGCGCTTGCCTTGAGCTGAAGAGCACAGGGACATTGCCCAGGCCCAGAGTTCAAACCAAAAACAAAAAAAAAAAAAAAAGAGAGAGAGAGACATTGAGTAATTTTGTGTGTTTATTCAACAAAAGTTGATTCAGTACCTCACTGTACCAGTCACTTTATTAGGAGTTGTGTTTATAAAGTAGATAAAACAGACATACCAGGACATGTAAGTAAACAATAGAGACAGACTTAAATTTCATATTTGTTGGATGTTAAAGTCCTTAACAGCTTATAAGAAATATGTATACATCTAACCAGGTGCTGATGTCTCATGCCTATAATCCCAGCTACTCAGAGGCTGAGATCTAAGGATCATGGTTCAAAGCCATCCCAGGCAGAAAAGTTCGTGAGACTCTTATCTCCCGTTAACCACCAGAAAACTGGAAATGGCCCTGTGGCTCAAGTGGTAGAGCCCTTGCCTTAAGCTGAAGAGCTGAAGGATAGTACCCAGGCCCAGAGTTCAAGCCCCATGATTGACCAAAAAAAAAAAAAAAATTTCATACATCTTGGAGATTGACATATTTTGGTACAATTAAGAATAATTGAATACTTATAGTTACCTTTGATTTATCTTTCTCTGTTTTAGCCCTTGTATTTGAAAAACACTTTCCAGCCACCATTGATTCTTTCCAGGATGCAGTGAAGTGTTTGTCTGAATTTGCATGCAATGCAGCTTTCCCAGACACAAGTATGGAAGCAATTCGACTTATTCGCCATTGTGCAAAATATGTGTCTGAAAGACCTCAGGTAAAACTTTATTTAGTTAACAGAACTTTGCCAAACATGTATTTCTAGTCTGAAATCTGATTTTTTTGGAAATGAGGGTATGAAGCATTTTTCAGTTTACCCCAAACTAGTTTGATCTTAATTCTAAGTATGGTTTATGATGTTGCCAACCAAAGCTATTTTAACAATATTAAAGGTATTATCAGGTGTTTTCTAAACATGTATTAATTTTTTTACTCTTCCTATCATTTTATGAAATAGATAATACATTTTTAGGCAGGTAATATAGGTGATAGCTAAGCAAACTAAAGCACAGGTTTTGATAGCCCATAGGTTTAGGGCTATAAAACAGAACTAGGGCTAGATCTAACCCCAGCTTGTGTTTTTGACCATTCCTTAATAATGTTAGTGGTTTGCCTGTGGCTCTGTGGCACTGAGACTAACTCTCTGGATCAATGTATGCTTAAGTTCTGAAGTCAAAATTTGAATTGAGAATCTGTCATTTTACATATCTGAATTTATAGATTTGAGAATAAAATTTTACAATATATTAACATAGACCTGTGAAGTGCTTAGTACTTTTTACCTACATTGATTCATTTGACCTTCATACTTTTCCACTGTGGCTAATGTGGCTATGTGGAATTCTATTTAAATATCAAGAATGAGAACCTGAAATAATAGGATGCAGAGAACGGATGACAGTTGAAGAAAAGCCAAATTTTGGGTTCCATTCTAGTGCTGTTTGTGGGAAGTTATACAGACTCTGTCTTTTTATACATTGTTACTTATTTAATTGCTCACTTGATTAGTAAAACATTTAAATACTTTTTTTGAGAAATAAAACACTGACTATGTATGTGTTTTGTTTGCCATTAGTAATCCAAGTTTTCTTCTTGAAGGCTTTCAAGGAGTATACAAGTGACGACATGAATGTGGCACCTGAAGACAGGGTGTGGGTGAGAGGATGGTTCCCTATTCTCTTTGAGTTATCCTGTATCATCAATAGATGCAAATTAGATGTAAGAACCAGGTAACAATCAGTATTTGGAATTCAAGTATTTGAAGAGTTGACTTTTCTTATATGCAAAGAAGTTCAGAACATCACATCATATGCTTTGTCAAAACTAATTATAAAATTGGAAAATTAAAAAAACATGAATATGGGTTTAAAATTGTTTTTAAACCGCAAGATGAAAAGTAAATACATTAGTTTCTTAAATTTTGGTTATAGTCTACTTTTATTCTTAGCTTCAAATTTAATGCATTAAGAATTATTAATTTGTAGCACCATTTTCAATTAGCAGTATATATTAACTATAGAAATTAGGAGTTTCTTATATTGAGAGCAGAAAGAGCTGACAGGAGGATGAATATGATCAAAGTAGTTTATTTCCAGGTATGAAAATAGAGCAATGAAACCTGTTGAAATTATTTTAAGAAAAGGGAGTGATAGGAGTGAGTTTGATCTGTCCATATGTGTGGACATGTTACAATGTAGCTCTGCTTGAACAACTAATATATGCTAATAAATGTTTAAAAAATCATTAGAGGTTTCATTATGACATTCCATAGATGCATATGATCATTATAAAGGGTATTATATAACTGGACAAGAACTCAGTATACTCTTTTTGTATTTCATATAAGTAGTTTTGCTTACCTTGTACTTTTGACTACCAAATATAGTTAATTTTAAAATTTTAATAAACTTCAGTTTCCCAAGTTTTCCTACATGGTATGCATTTTTAGTATTATGTAGTATTTTAGTATTGTATTGCTTCTGGAAATTAGCCTTTAGTATGCTATATTAAGACATACACTTTGAGTTATTTTTTGTTTGAAGTTGAATCCTTTAAGGGTTTTTTTTGCACTACTATTTTAACTACATAGGCATTCCTGATAAGCTTAATGAAGAAAGTGTTTCTTGGCATTCTTGTCTTGACTGCCAAACTTAAAACGGCCTGTCAACAAATACTTAAGGCTACTATTAATTTAGTTTTATATAAAATTTCTTTTAGTGTCTTTTCAGGAAGAATCGTTAAGTTACTTGAATATATTTATCAAAATTTTAAATTATGAAAGTAATATAGAATGATACAAAAATCAGTAATTAGAAATTTAATAAAAGAATGCGCCCTCCTTCCTTCCCTTACATCAAAGCCCTATAAAGCAAGATTAAATTTGTTATAGGCTAAGAAATCTTTTATTGTATAGCACAACTATCTCAAATTATTATTTTAATTAAGTATTTGTACAAAGAGGTTACAATTCTGTAAGTCAGGTTATGAGTGCAGTGCTTATTGATCACTATCATCCCTTCCATCATTCTTCCCCATTTTTCCCCTCCTCAAGTTACATAGTTCAAGTTTTACATGATATATGTACATTGAATATGATTCCATTTGCTCACCCTTCCTCTCTCCATTCCTGTAACTCCCCTTTCAGAATCCCTCCCCCAAACATGTTTCTGCTTCCTGGTATTTATTAAATAGTCTATTAATTGTTCAAAAGAGTTACATCATTGTACTCTTCCCCTAAGTATACCATCCTTTTCTTAGTTTGTTTTTGTGCATAGGCACAAAACCTTGTATATGTATATAAAAATACAGACCTAAAAATTTAGTCTAACTTTGACATATGTGGGAAGACATCCTCCATTTGGTCTCTCTAAGCCTCATTTACATTACTTAATATAATTTTTTTCTAGATCCATTCATTTTCCTGCAAATGGCATAATATTCTTTCCAATGGATGAGTAAAGTTATATATGATATATATATATATACATACATACATATATATATATATATATATATATCACATTTTCTTGGTCCATTTATCCATTGTAGGATATCCGAGCTGTTTCTATAACTTGTTATCAATAGTGCAGCAGTGAACATGGATGTGCAAATGTCTTTACTGTGTCCTGACTTGTAATATTCAGGGTAGATGTGTAAGAGTAATATTGCTGGATCAAGAGTAGTTTTATGTTTAGTTTTTTGAGGAATCCCCCAGCTGCCCTCCAAGTGGTTGTACTAGTATACATTCCCACCAACAGTGCAGTGTAGTTTCTTGCCCCTTTTCTTCTGGAGTCTTCACCAGCATTAGTTATCCAGCATTAGTTATCGTTTGTATTCTGGATGATAGCCAGTCTTAATGGGGTGAAATGGAATCTTAATGTTGTTTTGATTTACATTTCCTTATTGCCAGATTGTGAGCATTTCCTCCTTTATTTATTGACCACCACCACCTCCTCCACCACCACCACCACTGCCTCCACCACCTCCACCTCCACCACCACCAAGACCACCACCACCACCACCATCTCCTCCTCCTCCTCTCCCCCCCCCTCCACCCCCTCTTCCTCTTCCTTCTTCTCCTCCTCCTGTTTCTCCTCATCCTCCCACCCTCTTTCACTCCTCCTTTCCTCCTCCTCCCTTCTCCTCCTCCCCCCTTCTCCTCTCTATTTAACGCCTTAGCTTAATTTATGAATTGGGTTATTGATTTGGGGGGAAGCGTTAGTTTCTTGAGCTTTTTGTATATTCTGAAAAGTAAGTTCTTGTCAAATGTATAGCAGATAAAGATCTGGAGTCTGTCTTTTAGCTTTGTAACTATATACTTTTCTGGGTGGAAACTTTTTAGTTTGATACAATCCCATTCATCAAGTCTCTTTTATTTGATGAGCCCCTGGAGCTGTGCTCAAAGAGTTTCTACCTATGCCAGTAAGTTCTAATGTTTCTCCTCCTGTGTAGTAGTTTCAAGGTTATAGATCTGACTTTGAGGTCTTTGATCCATTTTGAGTTGATATTAGTACAAAGTGATATACAAGGATCCATTTTCAATCTTCTACATAGGGATGTCTAATTTTCCCAACACAAATTAGTGAAGAGGCTGTCTTTTTTCTCAACATGTATTTTTGGCTCCCTTGTCAAATACCAGATGACTGTAAGTATGAGTGTTTGTCTTTGAGCCTATTTTTTAATGCAAGTACCAAGCTGTTTTTGTCTGGAATTGAAATACTTTTTTTTTTTTGCCTAGCTTTGCTTTTATCTACTCAGGGTCTTCTGTGTAGTTGCATTTGAATATTTAGATTGTTTACTCATAGTAAAGAAAGACATTGGGATTTTGATGGGTATTGCATTGAATTTGTAGATCACCTTTGGCAGTATGTCCATTTTCATGTTGCCGATCCATGAACCTGGAAAGTTTTTTCATTTCCTGGTCTCTTCAGTTTCTCTATTAGGGTATGTAGTTTTTGCTGTAGAGGTTCTTCACTTTCTGGGCTAGGTTTATTCCTAGACTTATTTTTGGAGGCTACTGCAAATGTAATTGTTTTCCTGATTTCCCTCTATGTCTGCACTTTACTGATATACAGAAAAACTACTATTTTGTGGGTTACTTTTGTATCCTGATACCTTGCCAAAACTACTGATCAGCTTAGAGACAAGCTTTAAACTTTATGTTCTTAGTAGCTTTGTGAGCAGTAAAAGTTGGGAAGAGGCTGCTTTTTTGTATTATAACTTTTCCTGATTATATTTTGTCATTTTAGGGGCTTAACAGTAATGTTTGAAATAATGAAAACATACGGCCATACTTATGAAAAACACTGGTGGCAGGATTTATTTAGAATTGTTTTCAGAATTTTTGACAATATGAAACTACCAGAACAACAGACAGAGGTAAGAGAACACAAAATTTCATAATTTCATTTAGTATAACAAGTTTTAAGAACTCTTTTTTTTTTTTTTTGGTCATGAGGCTTGAACTCTGGGCCTGGGTGCTGTCCCTGAGCTCTTCAGCTCAATGCTAGTGCTCTCCCACTTGAACCACAGCACCACTTCTGGTTTTCTGGTAGCTTATTGGAGGTAAGAGTCTCATGGACTTTCCTGCCTGGGCTGGCTTTGAACCACAAGCCTCATATCTCACCTTCTGGAGTAGCTAGGCTTACAAGTATGAGCTACCGGCGCCTGGCTCTTTTTTTTTTTAGCAGTATTTGGGCTTGAACTTAGGACCTCACACTCACTTTATTTGCTTGTTTATGGCTGGTGTTATACCACTTGAGCCATGCCTCCAGACTGTTAACAATTTTTAATTTTTTTACCCAAAATATTTTAGTGTTTCAAATTAAACATAATGAACTGAGAAGAATTCCTGAAAATGTTTTCTCTAATACACAAGAAATAATACTGTAATTATAAACAAGAACATTATTTGGGAATAGAGGTGAATTTAACTTTCATTACATTATTTTTGCTTTTCAGTTTCTTTCATTCATTTTAATGTTATACCAACTATGAAACCCCAGTAACTTTATTTAGTTTTATATAGTGAAGTCTTATCCTGAATTGAATAGAATACAAAGTAAAATTTGCTTTATTTCAGTATCTTACTAGAAATCGATTCTAGTATGTGTTTGGCACTATAGTGCCAGATTTCCCATTTTTGTCCTACCTATTACAACAGGCTTCTGCATTTATTCTCTGTGTTGAAAAAATTAAATTAGTCATGTTTGTTATGACCCTTGCTTTTATTGTGTTTTGAAGTAATCATACCTCAGGAAAGTTGGTTTTATTTAGATCTTTGCTAATCCCTGTTGTGAATATCATAAAGTGAGGCCAGCTGTGATTACTCATGCATATTGTTTCAAAAATCATAGTGTGTACAGGCTGGGTGCTCGTGGCTCATACATGTTACTAGCTATTCAAACTTTTAGAAGAACACAGTTTCAGTTTAAGACTAACCTGAGCAAAATGTTTTCAAAAATCCCATCTCAACCAATAGCTGGGCATAGTAATACATGCCTGTCATCCCTACTATACAGGAAGTTGAGATTAGGAGGATCAAGATTCCAGCCAAGCCAACTTGTGTGAAAATGTTTACAAGACATCTGTCTTGACAGAAAAATCTGGGCATGGTGGTGGTGCACACCTACCTTTCTGGATGTGTCAAAAAGCCTAAATACATCTATATCAGCCTGGGCAAAAGTGAGACCTTATCTCAAAAACAACCAGAGCAGGCCAGCTGCTGCTTACTACTGTAATCCTAGCTGATCAGTAGCATAAAATCTGAGGATCATGGTTCTTGAGACTCTTACCTCCAGTTAACCAGCAAAAAGCCAGAAATGAGGTGTGGCTCAAGTTATAGAGCACCAGCCTTGAACAGAAAAAGCCAAATAAAAGTACAGAGTCCTCAGTAGTAGAGTGCTTGCCTTTTACGCATGACGCCTTGGATTCCATTCCTCAGCACCACATAAGCAGAAAAAGCCAGAAGTGGTGCTATGACTCAAGTAGTAGAGTGCTCGCCTTGAGCTGAAATGCTGAGGGACAGCGCCCAGGCCCAGAGTTCAGGTCCCACAACCAACAAAAAAGAGAAGAAGAAAGAAAAGGAAGGAAGGAAGGAAATTAGATCCTAGTGCCATTGTTTCCTTTGTTCGTAATAATTAGTATATGTCTAGGACGGTCTTAGTAGATGAGCAGAACAGCTTAATAGCTATGTTCATATGACCATATAAAATGATGCTAAGCGAAATAAACTCTAAGACATGGACACAAAAGGTTAAAAAAAAATGCAGAGTCCTGACTTCAAGCCCTCTTGTCAACACAAAACAAAGAATAGCCCAAAGGACTGAAAGCACTAGTCATGTAAGTATAGAGCACCTGCCTAGCAAGTGAAAAGCCCTGAATTTAAACTCAAGTACTGTCAAAAAGAAAAAAAAGTTTCAAGTGTTAAAATCAAGATGCTCTAGTAAACCAAGTGCGTGCATTTGTATTCCCAGCTATCAGAGATAAATATTGGGAGACTTGCTGAAGCCAGTCTGGGCAGAAAGTTGAGATCTAATCTGAACCAGTAAGGAGTGTGTAGCAATAGATGTACAACAATCATCCCAGCTACTGGGAGACCATAAATAGGATTGTGGTGGTTGTTCAGAGTGGCCCAGGCAAAAACATAAGACTAAGCACAACCAACCAAGTGGAAGAGTACCTATGTAGCAAGTGTGAGGCCCTAAGTGCAAACTTCTGTACTGCTAAGAAAAAAACAACAGTAGGTATGATAGTTCACTTACAAGCAGAGATCAGAAGTAATACAGCTCAAGTCTAACCTGAGCAAAAGTATCCATGAGTTCTTATTCACTGAGCTGGGCATAGTGGCTCACACTATGCCTAGTGGATCACAGAGTGATCCCAACTATGTGGAAGTCCATCAGTAGGAAAATCATAAGTAGGAAGATGATTGATCAGTCTTACCCTGGGTATAGATATTTCCCTTTTAATTCCAGTGGTTAATGGATAGTGTGCCCTTCTTTTTTTTTCTCCCCCTTCATTTAATGGCTTTTTCCCCCCTCAGAAAGCTGAATGGATGACAACAACTTGCAATCATGCACTTTATGCAATCTGTGATGTATTCACCCAGTATTTAGAAGTACTCAGTGATGTGCTGTTGGATGATATTTTTGCTCAACTATACTGGTGTGTGCAGCAAGGTATGTCTATAACAGCTATGACACAATTGTGTACAGAAAATGCTACATGTAACTTTGGTAATATGTAAATGAATTGCTTTTTTTTTTCTAGACAATGAGCAGTTAGCACGATCTGGTACAAACTGCTTAGAAAATGTTGTTATTCTGAATGGTGAAAAATTTACCCTAGAAATCTGGGATAAAACTTGTAACTGCACACTGGATATCTTCAAAACCACAATTCCACATGCGTAAGATTTTAGAAAATTTTATATTCATGTTTGATTACTAAATGAATTTAGTAGTGCTGTGGTTAACAATTTGGTAGTAACTACTGATTTTTCACTATTCTTGTTTTTATAAAACATGTTCAGTGTTGCATGGATTTAGATTGATTAAAAATCAAACTCTTGTAAACCATAACAAATGCTGAATTAAATTCTTTGTAAACCAGAATCTTTAGTCTGATTATCCATAATTTGGATCATAATAGAATGATTCCCTTGACTTTTGTAAGATTTCATTTGCATATGTTACACCACATGCTCATTTTGAATAAAACGGTTTAAAATCTCTTCAACATATATGTCACTTGTTGTAGATTTAGTAATCTAAGGAAAATCCATTAGCAACATTTTTTTTTTTTTGGTCGGTTGTGGGGCCTGAACTCTGGGCCGAGGCACTGTCCTTCAGCTCTTCAGGTCAAGGCTAGTGCTCTACCACTTGGGCCATAGCACCACTTCCGGCTTTTTCTGTTTATGTGGTGCTGAGGAATTGAACCCAGGGCCTCATGCATGCAAGGCAAGCACTCTACCACTGAGCCATCTTAACAACTGTCATCTTTCTGTAAGGTCTATAAGGTGAGGTTGGAATTGAGTTATAAAGAAGTTGTAGGGGGTTTAATGGTGTTTGTTTTGTGTTTTTTGTTGTTTTTATTTTCTGGTGGTACTGAGTTTGAATTTAAGGCCTGTGCATGGTTGGCAGGCACTCTACCCCTTAACCTATGTCCCCTGCTCAGCCCTTTCTGTCTTCTTGCTCTCTATCTCTACCTGTCTGTCTCTCTGTCTTTGTAGGAGAATGCTGGGATTTGAACTCAGGCACATACTTGCTAGGCTGGTAATCTACCATTTGAGCCATTTCTCCAACCTTGTTTCCCTGTTTAATTTTTAGATAGGTTCTCACTTCCCTTCTAGACTGAGACCACTACCATATCCAACTTCCCTCTGTGGAACTTTACTGTTTACTCTGCCTCTTCTAAGCCTTTCAAGACTATTACTTTTTAAATAGGGTTTTCTGTGTATACCCAGGCTGGTCTGGAACTGAGATCTACCTGTTTATGTTTCCCATGTTAGGCACATTTTTATTGAAATAGCATCTCAAATAGTTTTCTGTTCCAAATTATCCTAAACCCTTGATCTTCCTGATCTCAGGCTCTCAAATATCTAGGCTGGCAGGCTGACAATTCAACTTCATTGACTGTTGGCCAAGATGAGGTGTTGAGTTTTATTCCAGGTGGTCCTTGAACTGTAATCCCCCAGCCTCTGCCTCCTGAATAGCTAGGGTTATAGGCATGAGCCACTGGTACCAGCCATGAGGTTGTTTTCAATTGATAAGGAAATTAGACAGTTTAGGTGAATGCTTCTCTGGAATTGCATTATTTGTAGAATGGACAGGACTTTCTCAACCTTGGGTCTATCTGATCTTTGCATATTGCCTTATACCTACAGTTTTAAAATCTACAGATAGACTCTTTGGGGAAACACATTACTTCATCAATACATGGATATGTATAAAACCATAAAGAAAATTAGTAGTTTATCTACATTTTAAACCTCTAGAACTGTTAGACCCTTTTTTCTCACATGACTTGAATGTTTGTACCCCTGTAAATAAAAACAATAATTAGAAAGTCAAACAGAAATACGTACCTAGAGAATCCATTTGTAGGTAGTATTGTACTTAAATGTCACACAGTCATCTCTTTAGTCTATTTCTAACTATTAATATTTTTATTCTTTTGCTGTTTTTGTTTTGTTTTCTGTTTTAGTTTTTGGTGGCACTGGCATTTGAACTCAGGGCCTATTAGACAGGCCCTCCACCCTTGTCTTATGTCTCTCCCCTCCTCCCCCCCACTCCCCAGGCCCCAGCCTTATTTTGCTTTAATTACTATTTATATAGGGCCTTGTGTTTATCCTGGCCATCTTGGACATCACTGCTCCATTTACAATTCCTGCATTGGATGATTGGTATATGCTACTGCATCTAGCTCTTTTTTCTTCTTCTTCTTATTGGTTGATTTAGAATCATACAACCTTTTGGCCTCTAATCACAATCTCAGTATCTTCCTGCTGAGTAGCTAGGATTATAGACATGTTACATTGCCTAGCTTCTCTGATGCACTTTCTTGTGGTATCTGAGAAATAATGTCTGTCAGAGTTTACACTCCTTAGGTCAACGATCATATGAATTCTTGCCTAGCTGTTATTTCATAAATCCTATAAAATCTTTACAAAATTTAACTGGCTATCCAATTTTTTAAAAAATTAGAATTTTCTATTTTAATTTACTGGTTGCACATTCAGGACACTATATACACACACACACACACATATAATTTTAAACATCACCTAGTAAGCCTCTTTTAATAAGAAATAGAATGATCAGGGCTGGGTGGGTAGCTCAGTGGTAAAGTGCTTGCCTAGCATGCATAAAGCCCTGGGTTTCATTCTCAGTACCACATGCACAGAAAAAGCCAGAAGTGGCGCTGTGGCTCAAGTTGTAGAGGATAGCCTTGAGCAAATGAAGCTCAGAGACAGTGTCCAGGCCCTGAGTTCAAGCCCCAGGACTGGCAAAAGAAAAAAAGAAAAAAAATAGAATGATCAGTTTGCCATCTGTCTGCTTCAGTCTTGAGTAGCTGAGAATAAGAACTTGATGTCTGGTCATTGTTCTGTGCCAAACATCTCTTTCAAGGATGGCAAATTAATTTCTCTCTTGAACCAAGATTTATTTTTATACATTTTAAAAAAGGATAGAATCTGAAGAGTTCTATGAATTTCCATTTGTTTCAGCCTTAATCTATAACTTTTTGAAAAGTCTTAAAACTTTAAAAAATTTTACCTTGATAATATTTGAAAACCTTAACCCTTAGAAAGAATAAGTTTAAAGTTTCTGAAACTTCCCAAAGTGTATTTCATTACAAAACGAATTGCCAAACAGTGCTTCTAATTATATCAAATGCTATTTCCTAAAACTGTATATTTTAAAAATCCTACTGGATGTTTTTCAGCAAATTGTTGTTAATACTAATCAAAAGCAGAGTATATTTTCAATACTTATTTTATGTTAGTGTGCCCACTTCAAAGTTTGTTGAATGTAGTCTGTAGCATGTCCTTCTAGTGACTGCTGTGACTTTTATTATTTTACAGGCTCTTGACTTGGCGTCCAACTTCTGGAGAAACTTCACTTCCCCCTCAGTCTCCTGTGAGTGAAAAACAGTTAGTAAGTAAATCAAACATATTTTCAATTAAGTATGAAAAGTAACTTTGTTGTGAATCCAATGTTTACATATGGTAGTCTTAATCTGTTCCTTTAGCTACAATAAAATAGCTGAGTCTTGTTATTTTAGTAATAACAAAAAATTATTTTCTCATAGTTCTGGAGGTTTGGAAGAAACCAGCCTGTTTGGTGGCTCGTTAGGACTACTTTGCTTTCAAAATGGCTCTTGTTGCATTTTTTACATGTTGGAAAGGAGAGGGGCAAAGAAAGGCCTAGTTTTCCCACCCTTTTAATAAGGTAGCAGCCTTGTTAATGAAGACACTGCCATCTTGGCCTGATCACCTCCATCTCCTTAAGGTCTTACCCACATCTTAATACTGTTTACTGGGGTTAAGTTGCAGTGCGGGTTGTTGTTGTTTTTGTTAATGTTATTTTATCCTACTTTGTTTATTTTTACAACATGGCATTCGGTTTCTAATAAAAACAGCACAAAGGAACAAAATCAGTTGGAGAATGAAGAAAAAATGGTCAAAGTGCTGGAAGGTGTTGTTTTTGCTTATATGTTATTTTGGTGCCAGTACTAGGGCAACGTTGATTTTGAGTGGACAGAAACATATATTTATTCAAAGTGCAGCAGTAAGCTCAGCTCGTACAAAGATGACATCAATTTGCTCTATGGAATTTTCAGTTTAAATTTCTAGGTGATATATTTCACAGATAACTACAATTCTTTAAGAAAAGACCATGGATGGGGGTTTGACATAGAACATAGAGTAAACTGATTTCAAGATTGTCAGTGGCAAGTTTCAAGATAATAGTGCAATTTTACATACTATTCTGAAAGTATTAGTTGATCCTATTTTGTTTAAACTTGCAATATGTCACCTTATAGAAAAGTTGTGTTAACATACTAAGACTTCTCATATGTGGTTTCCTAGAGCTGCATGTCAAATTACCACAGACTTGGTGACTTAAGTTCTAAAACTCAGAAATTCAAAATCAAGGAGTCAGCAAGGCTCCCAAGTAAGCTTTAAGAAGATTCCCTTTACCCTTTGCTTGTTATAGCCCCTGATGGCTGCTGCCAACTTTTGAAACCCCTTGGCTTGTATACACATCATTCTTAATTTCTGCCACTGTCTAGACATGGTCTTCTCCTCTGCATGTGTGTTAGAACCTCATCTCCTCACTTTTACAAGAACATTAGTTATTCAAGATAAAACACTAAAACCAGGATGATCTAAGATCTTTACACTGTATCTACAAAACTTGACTTCCAAGTAAGTAGGCATTCATGGGGACTAGGAGTTTTGGACTTGGACATAGCTTTTCAGGACCACTATCCAATTTACTATAATCTATGTTCTGGAACCTAAATTGCCCATGATTATTTCCATGGACAAAAGACAAAACATTTGCCACATCCTGAGACCCTTCCCTACAAAGAAAAGTCTCAATTACAGCATCAACCCCAAGGGGGAAAAAAAATCTCATTCTGAATATCCAAATCTCACAATTTTAATCATTTAGATTAAGAATGGGTAAGATGTTGGGTATGGTCTATTTTGGGGTAAAAATTCATGTCCAACTGTGGAACTAAAATCCTAGAAAAAAAATCACCTTTTAAAATATAATGGCAGGATAGTGTAGAATGCAGATATTTTCATTCTAAAAGAAAGAAATTGGAAAAAATAAAAGTGACTAGTCTTCAGTTAATTCACAACTCAGCTGGGCAAATTCCTGTAAGACCTGAAAATAATGCTCTATGGCTTGACACTTCTCAGCTCTGCCCTCTGAGCTAATACGCCTTTTTCTTTCCATTAGACCATGTTTACAGCCAAGTAGTTCTATCATCCTATTTCCTGTTTGTTCAAATCCAAGAAGCCTGACATTATTTCTTTATTTCATCCAATTTTGGTCTCAGTCTTGGCTGGTTTTATTTCTGTTGATAATATCCTTCTCAAAATTCTTGTGGGTCTCCTATATATGTTAGAGGATCGATGTCTTTAAGCAAGGATTATCCATGTATCTTTCCTGTATGACTTTGTATGGCTTCTGCTGAGATGGCTACTTGAGTCACACACTTAACCTTTTTACCTCATATTCATTTTGTTGGATTGCAAGTTATTCAAAAGAGTTACACTATTGAAACCCTCTCCTGCATATACCATACTTTATGTGTGTATGACTGAATATGTTTTTGTATAATAAATTAGGTCTAACATGTTATGGGTTTCTTTGATTTTGTACTACATGTCTGTGCAAATACTAATTCTGATGCAGAACTGTTCTCTTTTTAGTGTATGCCAGTACTTAGGGCTTGAACCCTGGGTCTGGTCACTGTCTCTTAGCTTTTGCTCTCAAGGCTGGTTCTTTACCATTTGAACCATTGCTCAAAAATATATTTGAGGCCATGTGATCAATTCTTGTGAATCCATACACTTTTCATTCCAAATTTTATGATAACTCTTAGCATTTACTTACCAGGATAGAAAACTATCATAATGATTTGCATAGTACTTTATTGTTTAAAAATCTTTTTGCATTTGATCCTTCTAGAAGTCTTGAGGACAGGCTTGGTCTGTGTTAACTGGAAATGACAGATCATAAATTATGATATTTTAAGCCAATTAAAATATTTCAATTAGAACTATTTCTGGGAATATAGACCCACCGCCCTTTCACAAACTAAGAAAAGACCGCTTCAGGCTGGACTCATAGTCAGAATAACTGACAAGGAGAGTCATGTCTGTTTTCAGGTCAGAAAACCTTAGTTCAGGAGGGTTAATTATTTCCCAAGGCCATGTTAGAGCTATTGAATTCCATTGTCCACTTCTTTTCAGGACACCACACTCCTCATTAGTCTCTTTATCACACTGACCTTTCTTGTTCCTAGTTTGAGTGACAGATGATCCTTTCCTAGATTATAGAACTTCGCTAAGCCCAACCTATACAAAGCTTGTGGAAATCTTCCTCTCCCCCAACAAATGATTTTGTGAACACTTATGAGCATTGCTGGTTATTTTCTCTGTTACTGCAGCTGAGAATTTTATCCATTTGTCTTGGTGATATTTGGTCTGAGCCAAGTGAGGGTCAGGAAAAAAGCTTTTCTCTTAAAGATAACTTTTATGTATGTATGTAAAACTTAAAGTAATTTTATATGTATATAATCATGTATGTGATGTCATTTTTGAAGTAATGTACTTTTTAAAGGATAGTAAAAATATTTGGATCCTCTCAACATGCTTAACAATGAAATTTTCTTTATTTTATTAGGATACAGTATCACAGAAATCTGTAGATATACACGATTCTATCCAACCGAGATCTACAGATAATAGACAGCAAGCACCTTCAGTTTCTGCCTCCACTGTGAATGAGGAAGTTAACAAAATCAAATCTTCAGCAAGTGAGTTACTTATTTAAATAAAAACATCATTTATTTAATGTAGATATAGGTAACACTAAGAAGCAATATATTGTGTAATCCACTACTTTGCCTACACAGTGCCAACTTGGAAATGCCTGACAGATGTTTTGTCCCAAGAATTCCACTAGCATTTGCAATATCAGTCCCATCCCTGTCTCACCCCCATGCCCCATTTGGCTAATGTTTGAGTTGGGTACATGGGTTTTCTTTATCTATCCCTTCCACAGGTCAGCCAGTTTTTGTCTTCAAAGTGTAAGCCAAACATGTTTTCATATACCCACCTCCCAGAAGACTTAGTAAGGGGTCCCTGCTTTCTAAATACAGGAGCTCCAAGCACAAAGAATCAAGCCTCGCCACAATGCTGCCCAGGGGAGAATTGGGAGCCGTAGTAGTCCTCCATTTACCTTTGTCCTAAGAAGTAGGAACCCTTCACTCTTTACTGAAATTGTTTCATTTGCTGAATAAAACCCCTAGAAAAAGACTTCTACCTCTAGAAGAAAACAAGATGGTTCTAAACACTTTCTAAAAATTGAGGTTAAATTTATGTAACAACAGTAACTATTTGAAAATGAACAACTCGCTGGGCATTGGTGACTCAAGCCTATAATCCTAGCTTCTCAGGAAGCTGAGATCTGAGGATTGCAGTTTGAAGCCAGCCCAGACAGAAAAGTCTGTGAGATTCCAATATCCCCAATAAACTACTCAGAAAAAGCCAGAAATGGCACTGTGACTCAAGTGATAGTTCGCTAGGCTTGAGCACAGAAAGGCTCAGAGACAGTGCCTAGACCCTGAGTTAAAGCCTTAGGACCAGCACAAGTCAAAAAACAAAATAAAAAAAAGGGCAAAGAAAATGAACAACTCAGTGTTATTTAGTACATTCAGAATGTTGTGCAGCTTTGGCTCAAGTTGTAGAGCGCTAGCCTTGAGCTGAAGAGCTGAGGGACAGCGCTCAGGCCCAGAGTTCAGGCCCACGACTGGACCCCCCTCTCCCCCCCCAGAAAAAAAAGAATGTTGTGCAGTTGTCAGTTCCAGTTCCAGAACATTTTCATCATCCCCCAAAAGAAACCCCAGAACCATTGTATCATTTCCTATTCTCTCCCTCCCAAATCCCTAGCTACACCATCTGCTTTTATGTCTATAGATAAGCTATTCTGTGCTTTTTTATATAATTGGAATCCCATTGTGATCTTTTTTGTCTGGCTTTTTTCACTTAACGTGTTTTTAAGATTCATTGTAGCATGCATGGATAATTCCTTAGTGTACCATATTTGTCCATTTATATGCTGTAGGCACTGAGTGTATTCTACCTTTTGCTCATCAGAAATATTGCTCAGTAACATTGTCTCCAAATGTACCTAGGAATGGAATTACTGGGTCATGTAGTAATTCTGTTTAACTTTGTCAGGAATCACAAAATTGTTCTTTAAGGTGGTTGTACCATTTTATAGTCTTACTGGCATTTCCTGGTTTTTCTACATCTTTGCTAACACCTTCCTTTTTTAAAAAGTGGATACCTATCCCGGTATACTTCAGTGGATACCTATCCCAGTATACCTCATTGTGGTTTTGATTTGCATTCTGTAATGAGTAGTGGTTATCACTAAGTAAGCCATCATTTGCTTCTTAAACAATTATTTGTATCTCTGTTGTAGAGAGATCTGTACTTTACTTAACCCATTTGAAAATTTGATTTATCTTTTTGTTTTTGTTGAATGGTTCTATACTCCAGATATAAGACCTTTATCAGATGTATTATTTACAAACATTTCCTTTCTCATTCTGTAGGTTGTCTTTCCAGTTTCTAAATAATGTCCTCTGATGTACAAAAGTTTTTAATTTTGATGAGGTCTGATTTATCTGGTTTGTTGTTTACTTGCTTGGTCTTACTTTGTTTTGTTTTTTCCTGTTGGTCATGCTTTCAGTGTCATAAATTAGCCAATACCAGATCAAGGTCATGAAGATTTTCTCCAATGTTGTCTTTTAAGAGTTTTATTCTTTTATTCTATTATTTGATTTAATTTTTTTCAGAGAATTTATTAAGCCTGGGTGCTTACTGTTGTTCTTGAGAGAAGAAAGGCTCTGTTTTCCTACTTAAAAGCACCATTTGGCTTCAGTCACTGTACCTTGCTAACACCTTAAAGGGGAGATAGGTGGTGGTGAGTGGCCCATTTCCATTTTTCATTCTTGTTCTCTGGAGAACAGAATGGCTTTTGTAGGAATCCTGCAGCTTTTGTCTGTACTGATAAATGCTGTAAGGACAGAATAATGAGTGGCTGTTTAAATCTCCTTTAGTCCCAAGACCGAGCTTTGTGTGACTTTATCCTCTTCAATGAAAAAGTTTCCACTTGGCTAATCTAAAGCAAGGGCACTGTTCTCTTGCCATACTGAGCCAAGGGCTCAGACATGGTGCTCTTACTTCCCGGAGAGTGTTCTAAATGAGCTTCATTCTGAACTCGCTACTGGAGGAAGAATAAATGGCCACCTACCTTGGTGAGAAGGGCGTATTTCTTTTTGTGATGAGTTCACTTGCCATCTCACTGCTGCTCAAGGAATAACAACACAGCTGAGCACTCCACCTGTCTCTAAGACAGCTGCCTTGTGTTTTAGAAAAAATCACTGCCCCAGCTCCTCTTGTTTCAGTACTAAGAGTTTTACATAGTTAAAAATCTATTGAGTTTGAGTCCTTATAAATCATATTTGTCCAAATTGATGTTATCTCCAAATGTCCTGATAATCCCTGTTGATATTGATGGGACTGTAGTAATATCTCCAACTGGTTCTTAAAAGGCATCAGAAAGTGTAGAGAGGCATGGCTTCACTGTTCAGTATCAGGGCAATCTTAGCCGGCAAACTCGGTCAGTTGGAGTCACTGGGTGCTGCTTAGAGCCCTTTTGACACCCACAGGTATCTCATAACTGATGAGAATTTGTCTCCTCAGACATCTACCTACTGCTAAGTCCCTTCTGGAATCCAGGTGCTTGCTATCAGGAGTAGGAGTATCTTTCCCAGCAGCTGAGGTGTTTTTAATGACTCAAATGAAGGGTGAGTCAGTGTACCAGGTTGGCTGTGACTGCAGTAAAGGACAGTGGAGGAGGCCCTTGAGGAAGACATACCATAGGACTTACGAGTTTCTTTGTTTCATTTTGTTTCTTAACTTGAGATCTAGTAGTAAGAACAACGAAGTTAAATAGAACAGCATTCCTGGAAGATATCTGGAAAAGAGCCTTTATAAATTACCTCAAGAATAAATTTAATTTTCACAAATTGGTATAAAAATGGGACTTGGTAATAAAATACTTATAGTAGAAAGAAACTGAGGAATTGTAAGTTGTCTGATTTAACAGGCAGCTTCTGTTGGGCAGCCAGCCAAACCACTAAACACCTGCCCTAGAAAAGCTGGGCTGGAGAACCCAGGTGTGGCCATGCTGGCTGGTCCCTTCCTTCCTCTTGGAGTACATGTCAGTTCCACCATTTGCTCACAGTCCTCCTCCTTAACCCTATGTTTTTGCAGTGTTTAACCATCAGGTCAGATAAAAAGCATTTGCCTTTGAAGTTGACTTTACAGGCTGGTGGATTATCAGAATTGCCTTGTTTAGCAAACTTATTCAGAATACCAGAATGTAGCAATGTTAGACCTGTGTAGAAGAAAGCGAAATGGAGAGTAGCACTCTACCACTAAGCCATATGCAGGGCTGGGAATGTGCCTTAGTGGTAGAGTGCTTGCCTAGCATGCCTGAAGCCCTGGATTTGATTCCTCAGTACCACATACACAGAAAAAGCCAGAAGTGGCACTGTGGCTCAAGTTAGAGTCTAGCCTTGAGCAAAAGAAGCTCAGGGACATTGCCAGGCCCTGAGTTCACAAGCCCCAGGACTGGCAAAAAAGAAAATAAATACAAAATGGTTTCAGCATATTTTATAGCTTCTTTGTTAATGGGTCCATTTGAAAATAACAGGTAATTTTATCTACATTCCCTAACCTGCACCCAGAATCATCTCCTTCAGCTAAAACACTGTATTGTATGATTTGGTCAGAATCCCTGCTATATCCCACTTCCTATATCACAGGTTTTTATTTACTGTCAAGGGTAAGAGTTGAGTTTGCAGGACTGGCACCAAAGAAACAAAACAAAAATTTGAGACACTTCCAAATGTTGATTTAATGAAACTTTTAGCAAATAGTGCCTGTATACAAAGCAGGATGTCCTCAGCATAGTATGTGAGGTTGTCGTTATACATGTTAATGTTTCCTTAACATTGTAATGCCATAGAATTATAAAGGATTCAAAATAATATTTTGTTTGCATATGCATTGGGGGGTTTCCTCACAGAATTTCCAGAACAAAAATTGTTTGCTGCCCTGTTGATTAAATGTGTTGTGCAGCTGGAACTCATCCAGACCATCGACAACATCGTGTTCTTCCCAGCAACAAGTAAGAAGGAAGATGCAGAAAACTTAGCTGCAGCCCAGGTAAGGAGGTTTGAAGGCAGCTGTTTTCTGGGTTTGTTGTTCTGTGAGAATAAGAAGTTAGCTGAAAAGGCTGAGCTTTGGATAGGAAGTCAGGTTAGAGGTTTTCTTTGGAGGGCCTCAGTCACACAGCTGCCATTTTAGACCTGAGACTGGATAAAGTAGGTCATGAGGTTAGTGAGTGTGGCTATGGTAAAGACGAGGGGTGGGCACTGAGCCCTGGGCACTGATGTTCTGTGACATTCTGGAAGTCCAATAAAATGCTGTAAGAAGAATTTGATCAATTGCTCAGCATATATCATGTAACATCACACTTCAAAATTGCCCTCTAGCCAGTAGAAGAACTTGGGTTTTGCAGTGTGTTAGATTTTAACATTGAGGGCCAAAACATAGTTGTAATGGATACATGGGAAGAGAACTGGAGATAGGAAATAATTTAACCATATCAAGGAGTTTTGCTATATAGGGGCCCAGAGAATGGGGCGCTAGCTGGAGGAGCTTGAGTGGGCGTGGCCTGAAAAGGGCTTACTTTGTCCTCATACTGCTCATTAAAGTCAGCACTACAGCTGCGTGTTCCTTGAGAGCTTTTGAGCAGGAGTGAGGGTGCCAAAGCTGCTGTTTCTGATGACAGCACCTCACACAGATGGGACTTCTGGAGTCACCACCAGATTGTCCACTCGTGGTAGAGGATGATGCTAAAGAGCCTGGTCTCTGGGAAGGTTGATGCATTTAGGTTTAGGAATTTGTGGGAGATTTCTTCTGATTGTTTCTGCTTCTCCTTGAGATGGGCAGAAAAGTGATGGACCATGTGAGGTTGGGAAGAATGCTTGAAAAGTAAATGCATGAATTATCTATTGAGAAATAGAGATGGGGAAACATGGAGGAGTGCTGGCAGTACCTATGCTGTTGAGTTTAAGGAGAAACCATCTGTTTGTCTCAGTAGTCCTACGGGCTCCATGGATACAGTTATGGAATATGCAGAGTTTTAGTACCAGAAGAGATGAGGAATCACACAAGGGAATAATTAACATCATGGTCCAGGAACTCTGCAGCAGTTGAGGAGAGGAGGAGAAGGCCTGAGGGGGTTGAAGTGCCAAGTGATGCAGGGCCTGGGCCGGCAGAGCCCCGCAGGATTTCACAAGAGGTTTGAGACAGCTAGAGAGGCACTTGGTGACAGAGATGCATAAAGAATGTAGACATTCCTGTTTCATTAAGGGAGAATATATTGAGGTTCTGTCTATGTCTTACTTGTAAAAGTAGTTTTTAGGAGCATCAAGTTCTAAATTTATTAAAATTATGATGAATATCTATGTTTTGGTGGTTTATCTTCGGAAGAGAGATGCAGTGGACTTCGATGTTCGAGTTGATACTCAAGACCAAGGAATGTACCGCTTTTTGACATCACAACAACTGTTTAAGCTTCTGGACTGCTTATTAGAGTCACATAGATTTGCAAAAGCGTTCAATTCTAACAATGAACAGAGGACTGCTCTGTGGAAGGCAGGTAAGCTGCTGATATTATGTTGTTGTACAGTTAATATAAGTGCTGCTCTTCGGATATGGACATACGTCATAAGTCATTATTTGTGGACTTGAAGTCAGCAGTAATAATAATAATGACAGGTCTTTTTCTGGTCAACAGTAAACCAGACAACTACATAGGTAGATTTCTTTCTCCCGGTTTTCGTTTACCTTGTAATTGTCCACTTGACCACTTGCGCTTTTACATAGTTTGCTGAGACTGTACATTCCTCTTGATAGTAGTATTAAAGAACTGTCCTTTTATAAGGAAAAAAAAAAAAGAACCTGTGAAGATCCTATATGTGATATCTGGCGTATGATTTATTTGGTTGAGCTTAACTATACTTCAGAATAAAAATGAGTGGGCTACAATAGGGAAGTATATTTGTTTTAAAACAAATTATTAAATTTAAATAAAGAGCTTCCTAGGTGTTACATGTGGTGGCACACGCTTGTAGATCCAACTACCTGGGCGATGAGGATCACAAACAACATCCTCCCTCAACAAATTAGTTGGGCATAGGTCAGGCCACATCGTGTACCTATGATCACAGCTAGGGGGAAATTTTAGGTAGGAAAATAGATGTCTGAGCCTAGCCTGAAGCAAAAAAAAAAAAAAAAAAGGACAGGATACAGTGAGGACAACAGGGGAGGAGGGCCTAGCCACTCCCCTCCCCCCCTCCCCAAAGGATCCATTTCCTATAAATTACATTTGACATTGTTAATTCTTTATTTAAAAAATACTTGTGTCTATTAGATAAAAAATAGTGCTGGGAGAATTAGGGACAACAGGAAAACAAAGAAAGCTGATGGTTAGCATCCATTTCTATGTCAAATGCTTAGATGCTTTAAGACATTTCCTGTTTTTATTTAATACAAGGTGGCTTTTTTCATCCTCTTTACATTATAGTCTTCTAGAAAGAACAGATTATAATTGTTTTCTCCCTCCAGCCCATTACCATCATTTGACTGGGACGCTTCTTTGAGGGTGACAGGATTCTTGTGTTTGTCCATGCCTCCTTCACATCTCTGGCTTTTAAGTAGCCCCTGCCTCCCACTATTTATCTCAGAGCTCTGCTATGGGCAGAGCATGCTATACTCACAGCCTTATCTGCAGGGCTTCAGGTGTAATTCATTCAAAGGGTTCTGTTTGCCCAGGCTGCAGGTTGTTTTAAAATCTGAATATAATGTTTTGAATGCCCCAGGCCTTTAGGGTAGGGCAACTCTGCTTTGTACACAGCCATCACCAACAGCTGACTACCCAAAAATGTGCCTCCCAACAGATGGTTTGTCCTTTCTGTAAAATGTCTCATCCCAGAAACCTCCCTTGTCTGCAGGCTTCAAAGGCAAGTCCAAGCCTAATCTTCTGAAGCAGGAGACGAGCAGCCTTGCCTGTGGGTTGCGCATTCTCTTCCGGATGTACATGGATGAAAGCCGGGTCAGTGCCTGGGAAGAGGTCCAGCAGAGGCTTTTAAAGTAAGATGCTTGACTGATTCTGCTTTTGACCCATGTGACTGGTATACAGAACAGGAAAGGGACAAGAACAGTTCCTATTTCACAAATCAATTATGAAAATTAATCAAATAGTGTTACAGATAGATATGGGGTGTGTGTGTGTGTGTGTGCGTGCGTGCGTGCGTGCGTGCGTGTGTGTGTGGACTTTCCTGCCCAGACTGTCTTCAAACCACAATCCTCAGATCTTAGGCCCTTGTACAGCTAGAATTATAGGCATGAGCCATTGGCATCCAGCTCCCCTCCCTTTTTTATTAGCATGCATTAGTAGTACAAGACAGTTTTATTGGAATAACTCTAGCTGCAAAAAAGGTACTTTAAACAAATTGACCCCTCTGTTATATCCCCTTAGCCTCTTTATCCCCCTTTTCAGTGTTGGGTGGGTTTCATTATGCTGTCTTCAGATGTATGCGTGTGTGTGTGTGTGTGTGTGTGTGTGTGTGATGCACATATTGTACTTAAGAATAAAATCATATTATCTGCAAATAGGAATAATTTGACTTCTTCCTTCCCCATTTTAAATCTTTTTTTTTCCCCATGGGGCTTGAACTTGGCCTGGGCGCTGTCCCTCAGCTTTTCAGCTCAAGGCAAGCACTCTACCACTTGTGCCACAATGCCACTTCTGGTTTTCTGGTGGTTAATTGGAGATAAGTCTCATGGACTTTACTGCCCGGGCTGGCTTTGAACTGCAGTCCTCAGATCTCAGCCTCCTGAGTAGCTAGGATTACAGGCTTGAGCCACCAGCGCCTGGCTTTGAATATTTTATTTCTATTACTTTACTACTCTGGTGAGGAATTCCAGTTCTATATTGAATAAGAGTGGAAAGTAGGCACTCTTGTGTCCTTGACGTGAGAAGAAATTTTTTTTTCTGAAATTTTGTTTTTTTTGTTTCATATGATGTGCCTGCTCATTTATCATATACATCGTTTGTTGTGTTAGTGTATGTTTCTTCTCTCCTATTTTTTTAGAGCTTTTAGCCAGCTGTAAAAGATGTTGAATTTTTCAGAATCCTTTCTGTATTGAGAAAATTGTGATTTTTGTCCTGATTCTGTATATTATTTACTGACTTATATGTTTTGAGCCATCTTTGCATACCTAGAATGAAATCAACTTGATCCTGTATGTGATCCTTTGAATTTATTGAATTCATTCTGCAAATACTTTGTTGAAAATGATGTTGTTTTTTATTGTTACTTTGTCCTTATGAGGTTTTGGTTTGAGGATAATACTTCATAGAAGAACTTTGCTCCTCTTTCTGTTTCATGGAGAAGTTTCCAGAGTATTGATGTTATTTCTTCTCTCCAGGTCTGGTAGAATTCAGTAGTGAATCCACCTGATCCTGGACTTTTTTGTTGAGCCATTTTAATTTCAATCTCATTTCAATGTGCTTAACTGTTTTATACCCTCTCAGTTCCAAATCGGTAGGTCAAATACATACAAATAGATGTTTAGAATATATTATTGATGTCAGTAGTCATAGCTATAAACTTCTCTTGTACTGCCTTTGTTGTTACTGAAAAGTTGTGGTAAGTTGTGTTTTCCTTTTTATCTTTGAATTCATTCATGTACTTTTTTCTCCTAGCACCAAAGCTTGAACCCATACCTTATACTCCCTCAACTTACTTACAGCTAACACTCTATCTCTTGAGCCATGCCTCCAGGCTGGCATTTTGCTGATTAGAGAATAGAGTCTTTGGATTTTTCTGCCCAGTCGGCTTTGAACCTCTCATTCTTTCGATCTCAGCCTCATAGCTAAGTAGCTAGGATTACAAGTGTGAGCCACTGGCATCCATCCTCATTTATGTGCTCTTTAATTTCATTGAGCATTTTTTATCATTGTTGAGTTCATTGTGTGAAGTTTTATCCACTCGACTCTTTCAAGTTCTTTATTGTAGAATAATGTTGTAGGTGACATGTTGCCTGTTTTTTCATATTGCATGCATTTCTACACTGGCATTTATGTATCTGAGGCCAAGTTGTTTAGTTTTAATCACCTGATCACCTGTAGTCTTTCAGTTAACATATTCTCAGTGTTCGGGCGGGACAGTATTGTAGCTAGATTGAGATGCCATTTCTCACCACTGGACTGGAAGCATGGTTCAGTAGCCAAGCATTCTTCCTGTGCTTGTAGCTCTTGTAGAAGGGCTGCTTCCACTGTAGACTACTCCCTTCCTTTGTACTGGGAGCTGCCTTGGCTGCAAAGTGCTTTATGATTTGTGGTCTCTGCTAGTTCCCACTTGCTCCACATTGCCCCCATCCTCCTCTACGTACTCGGGGGCAGTGAACATACAAGCAGGAGGCATTGGTGTGGAGGGTGCTAACAGGCACTGATTGGAGTTTTGTACTGGTTGGAAGAGAACTGACAGACCTACTCACTGCCTGCTGGTCTCAGTGCTTACAGACCCCATCCAGTATTCAGTTCCATGTAGTAGGAAGAGGCTGTGGAAAGTTTCATGATTCAGAGGGACTGGGACTATGGACCCGGTACTGCACTGACAGTCAGCAATGACACGCCGGGACGCAGTTCCCAGGGGCAGGCCTCAGTGTTTCCACTCCCTATCTGACATTTCATCTCCCTGTGGGGGAGAGGAACCTATGGGTGTCATGTGATCAGGGTGCAGGGCTCCGACTTACCTAGTAATCAACACTGGCAGCCAGATAGAAGCAGGCCCCGGAAATTGAATGCTAAGCCAAATACAGGTTCAGTGCTTGCACCCTAAGAGCAGGGGAGTGGAAGAGTGTCTTTCTTCACTGATGTTAGCCTTTCACACCAGAGCAGTCAGTATCTCACAAATCCCACGCTGGGATTAGGGTTTGTCTTGCAGTTAGAATTGCAGTCTGTCACCAGCTTCTCAGGAAGCCAGGGAATGGCACGGAACTGTTGGCTGCTTTTTTTTGTTGCCTTTTCTTGCTGTTTTTCTCTTTCATAGTAACTGATGCTCTGTCTTCCTTCAGAATTCTCGTACTTTTTCTGACTTTTGTTATTCAGATCAAGTGGTAAGACACTCGTAATCCTTCAAGGACTATTCCATCTATATCCTTTAAAGACAAAGTCTATAATGTCTAAGCTGCCTTGAACTGAGGCAGCTCAAGCAGTCCTGGCATCTCATCTTCCTGGGCCACTGGGGTTAAAGCTGTACACTACTACACCTGGCTTGGGTGAATGCATTTTACATATAAACAGATCATGTCAGCATATAGGATAAAAGAGATGTTAGCCTTTCTCTTAACATTCAGAACCTTTAAACTGTGATTAAAAAGTTCAGATCTTTATAATAGTCCATTTTTATAGGGTAGTCCTTTGTGAAAATAAGTGTTTTCTTGCATTTAGTTTCAGAAAATATTTGGAGATTGTTATTCTTTTTTTTTTCATTCTATTTTTGCTTCTGGACAACTGAAATCTAAAAGTAAGATAAGAATGAAACATGCTATTTAGAAATATTACTGCCACTTATATACTTTATATAAGTATATATAGATGGGATAGATGTTCACAGACCAACTAAATATATTTTAAGTATCCATTCTCTCATTTGTACCGACAAGACCATTGTGTTGCAGAAGAGCCTGAAGCCTCATTATCTTATCATTGGGAAGAGCCAGGTCTCTTCACATAGGATTGTACATGTGCTTTCACACTGGTTTCAAACTTAGTGAACTTAGAAAGTTAAGAAAATGTGGGTTTCCCTACAAGTTGAAATGTATTGTTAAGGTTAAATTTTTTTTCTAACTTGAAAAATATAAATGTAAAAGTTAATATTCCACTTAATGTAAAAAAGAAATGGGATCTAGCAAATTCATTATTATTATTCACTAGCCTTTTTTGTCTTAATTGTCCTTTTCCAGTGAGATCAAACACTGACGAGTATACAAGTAATGTAAAAGTAAGCCTTCTCTTTTGCAGTGTCTGCAGTGAAGCACTAAGTTACTTTCTCACTCTAACATCAGAAAGTCATCGGGAAGCCTGGACTAACTTGCTGCTGTTGTTCCTCACTAAAGTTCTGAAGATCAGCGATAACAGGGTAAGTATGAGGCTTCCCTCCATAGCCCACTGGCACACTGTGTTGAACGTGAGGCACGCACTCCTCACTCAGTCCTCACTCACCTTTGTTGGGTAATCAGCAGTTCTATAGAATGTGTGGCAGTACTCAGGGCCTTACACTTGGTAGGTTGGCCCTCTCTTACTTGAGCCAGAGTCCCCTACGACACACCTGGTGTCAGTGAAATTCCCTGTTTGAAGTGATTCTCCAGGCTGCAGCAGGCCTGTGACATAGTAATTCCACTTGACCAGGACCTCTAAATGAACAAGCTATGAACTAACTCATCATGTTTAAGTCAAGAAAGAGGTGAAGTACAACTTTGTAATTGTAACTATAAATATTTAAAGTTCTTGAAAGTACACATCTCAATAAAACATGTATAGCAGCTTTTAATAGCTTATATGTAAAACAAGTTGATGTGGCCCCCAGATAAGTTTAAAAATCCTACTCAGGTGTCCTGATACTGAATCTTCAGGCCCTAGCAGCATGGTCCCCATAGGGAGACCATGTGGAGGCAGGATGTGCCACTCTGTGTTAACTGAGCTTGTGTTCCCCCACTGCTTTTAGCCATGTGGCATTGCTGTTTCCCTGCAGGAGCAGAGAAGTGAAGGAGGGGAGAGGGGGCAGACTTGTGCTCAGAGAGCACCACTGCAGAGATCAGAGACAGAGTGTATAGATTGTACTCGAAAAGTGGTCTTTTAATGTAGCTTTGCCCTAGAGGATGTTTACATATTTTATATTGCAGGTTAGGTAGAAATTTCCCTGAAAATTTAAAAATTAGACAAATTTTAAAATTTAAAGCGATTATTTTAGTAACTTGTTTTTTAAAAGAAATTTTAAAATATGGAATTTGCATGTTATACTGGCACGGAGACTGTGCTTATCTGCGCCATTCCAGTTTTAGTGTGTGTGTTGCCAAGGTGAGCATATAACTCTGGTTAAAGAATACTCTTTCCAACCTAGCTTCTTAGTTTTTCTTATTACCTAGAAAAAGGATGACTGGCTTGGGGTTTGAGTCTTGGATTCTTCTCATTATTGCCTTGTATTTTTCTGTTTTGGTGTTTTGCATTTTTTAAATTATGTATTTGAACAAAGGGGTTTCAGTTTCAGGAGTTGTCAGGTTATGTGTACAGTGCATTTTGACCAGTATTACCCCTTCTCTCCCCTACCCATCTTTCCCTTACCCTCAAGTTTTTTAGTTCATCTTATTACATAATGTACATTGAATATAATGACTGTGTTTATTCCTCCCTCCACTCATATGCCCCTAGCATTCATTTTGTTAAGCAATTTGGTACTAGGCTTTGGGGTTTGAAGCCAGTGTATCTTGCTTGCTAAGCGGAGCCACTTGAGCCACTCCAGCCACTCTACAATCCATGAAGTCATTTGTTAACCAGTGCCTGCCCCCAAGTGCTCTAAAGGAACTTTTAGGCTCAGTGGTTTGCAATGGAAGCAACTAATGGAGAATTTTATCTTTCCCCAGTTTAAAGCTCATGCGTCATTCTACTATCCTCTCTTATGTGAAATTATGCAGTTTGACTTGATTCCTGAACTGCGTGCTGTTCTTAGAAGATTTTTTCTGCGAATTGGAGTCGTTTTCCAAATATCACAACCGCCTGAACAGGAACTTGGAATAAACAAACCGTGATGGGAACGTAATATTTTTCTGTTGACGTTTACATCCCTCTGCTCTTTCAAAGGACCCTGGAGCCGAGGCTTCCTACCAGAAAATGGTCTCTCTGAATTACAGTGTCTGAGTTACTGGTAAATATGCTTACAACTAGAACTCAAACTTGGAACACTCCATCTAGTCCCTTTAGCAATCTAGTAGATTCTGTCATGTGGGCTCATGTTGAGCTAGAAAGCCTATTTAAAGTGTCAGCTTGTGCTCAGGGGTCCTTGCCTGTGCTCTGAGGCAGGGAGAGCCCTTCATATTTTTGGCAGGCATGGAAGTGAAATTTACCCAAAGAACTACAGATGTAAAGTGTGAACTTCTACAAGAAGTACAACTCAGGAGAGCTGTATTTTGAAGGTTAAAATGTTTATAATTGGGGAGGGTGGGGGAGGAAAAATTATTGTTCATGGTAAGATATTTAGCAACTACGGTATTCTTATTCTAAAGATTTTTGCACACTCAGGTTATCTGAGATACTGGTAATCATCCTTCTGTGAAAAATGTACAGAGTTGCAGGTCTGTAATATAAAAAAAAAATCTTAAGAGTTCTTCCTGCACTGTTTTATTTTCTTTATTTTCTTATCTACTTGCTAAATACCCATATTTTGTCAGATGCACTAAACATTTGGGTTGAACTTTTGTCTTTATTTTGTGGGGACTTTCAGTTTTGCCCTGTTTGGAGGGTGGTAACTTTGAGGAGTTCAACATGCTTAAAGGCTGTTGTCAAGATCAATAATGGGAGTGGGGACATGATGAGGATAAAGGTAGAAAATACCCTACTGACAATAACTACCTGTAATATACTTCTCTTAGGGCTTTTAAAGATGAGCCATTAAAATAGAATGATCCTTCATGGACTGAAACTTGAATCACTGCAAAATGAATCTTGCTGTCACTTTTCTTCTTTTGGGTGGCGGGGCTTGATGTAGATTTACTCTATGTACAGAATTTAATGTTGAATATATTAAAATAACAAATCTGGCATGGTTTGGGGAGGTTAGATTTACTGGAAATGTATTCATACTGTGAATTGTGCTCTAATGGTTAAAAAAAGACAAGATTGTCAAGCATTCCGTATTAACAGTGGATGTAGAAATTTTTTTCAGATGGATAAAATGTATATGGTACAGATGTAAAGTTTTCTATGTAAAAAATTCTGTACAACTTTCTGTACAATATTGATTCTCATCTGGCATATTCAAATCAGGTTATAGGTCAATAAAATTTTTGAATAATTTCATCAATGCAATCAAAACCTGTGTAACCCACAGCTCCATGTTTCATCAGTTCTTTTAGTTTTAATTAAGAGTTTAGACTATGGGAAGGATATTGCCAGCCAGAAGGACACTTGTTTTCTAGCTTCTGGCATTATATCCTTTCCCTATCCCTTACGTTCATAATTGTACTTGATAAATTTTCCTTTGGGTCAGTTTGCAAAGTGGTAATTTATGCCCTGGGACTCATGTGGTACATAGTATCAAAAAACGTGGAGTGTGCCAGTTAAGAGGATTGTGCTAAAAAAAAAAAAACATATCTAGATATAGATCCATCTCTCTATTGAGCCTCGCTTCCAGGCCTAAGTCTCTTAGGTAATGAGTTATTGAAAAGTACACTTATAAGAATACCACCATATGGATTACTGGTAGGACATAACCAGGTGTTCAAGTTACCCAACTTTGGGTGGCTGGAAACTACTGTGACCTTCTTGTGTCTGGCAGCTTAATGTCATATTATCAGGGCTCTTCCAAGGTGAGACATGGGAAAAAGTCTTTAATAGGCAAAATTCCAGAGAAATTTCACAGTTGTAGTACTCTTAAGACGGCCTGTCCTTGATTAGTCAATGGAAACATTTAGAGAAGCATGCCTGGATAGGGTGGTATTACTGTCATGATGCATGCTGACTCTCTAATCCAAGTAAAAATTACTGCCCAAATTCTGAATGTTTGCTTTTTCAGAACTACTTAGTGATATCCATGGGTCTGGGGTGGTGGGACAAAGAACCCCAATTTCAGGTAAAATAAGAAACTGACACTGGTAATAAAAATAAAAATTTATTTCTATCAAGTAGTAGTGAGAATCATATAAGTTAGTAACTCTGAGTCTGTGCCAATAAAATGGAGGCTGAAAGAGGTAATATTAATGCATGGCTCATGAAAGAAAATAATCACAGCTCCTTCAATTTCCACTGAAATCAGTAGCTACAAATGACATGGAAATAGCTCATTTGAGTCCATTCACACAGCAACTGCAATAGTCACAGCTACAACAGTTGTATTTATTAAATGAATCATTTTGAGCAGAGATAACAATGGCAAGTGTGCAAGAAAAAGTGTGTTCTGCTTTTACAGTACTGTTGAGACACATTTTATTCACCTTAACGACAAGTAGAATTTAATGCACATACTGTAGTTGAACCCAAGAGTTCTTTACCATCCTAATTTATGGCAAAATTGTGCAAAAATAATTCTATACAATTCTATTACATAAATCAATCATAACTTTTTATGTACACCATATACATCATATACATCATATACAGCGCATCAAGAATAGTTTATGTACGGATGGAATGCAATTAATTTAAAAGGTACAGATTTAACATTCCATTCACCTTAAAAGGCACTATTAAGTCCAGTGAATATTTATTTAACCATGTGCTGTAGACAGACCCTGCCAAGTGAAAGTCCCTGGTTTTCCTGGAACCTGCTGCTGCTCCTGGTGAAGCTGCTCTGCCATGAAGTGTTTCAGAGTTTCTGAGGTGCCAGGGCGGAGCCAGGGCTCAGTTGCTACAGAGGCTGATCCATCATCACCCATGTGTTTCATAATGTCATCAGGGTCAGCTAGTGAGCTCTCATCATCTACAGGAGGCAAGACACGTATCAGCTAACAAACAAAGGTCTCCTGTACACCAACCCTTTCAACTCTGCATTTTCCCACAAAATTACATTCTGCGCTGTATTTTTTTTGTTTTAAAGGTAGGAGAGCAGGCCCAGGAAGGGCCAGATTTGTAGGAGGCTGACTATGAGGCAATCGCACCCCAAGAAATTCTATAAGGGTGTCGGGGGGGGGGGGGGGAGGAGGGAGGCTGGGAAGGGATGTGAAGGGTAAACAAAGGAGGAGGCTGCAATGCTTGGTAAGAAATGTATGCATTATCTTGCCCATGTAATTGTAACCCCTCTGTACAGTATGTTCACAAATAAAAAAAAAAAGAAATTCTATAAGGGTAGCTTATCAAGAGACTGAGACTACCCCAGACATACTAAGTTGACTGTATCTATATATATGACACAAAACATATCTATTGGAATTTTACAAGCTTTGGGGGGCTGTTTGTCCCACTTATAACATTACGCAAACAAAGTCATTTGGGGAAAACAATAGTTGAAATAAAATTACTTAGTAGTTCTTACACCTAATCTAAGAAGGCTGTGTCCCTTAACAGTTCTTTGTCTTTCATTGCATTTGCTTGTACTCAGCTTCATTATCTGTATTTTACTTATTAAGTATAATAATAGGAAAATCTGTCTTCCTACCCTGTGATGTCAATTTCTTTTATAAAAAAAAAAAAATTACATCTCTTGGTCTGTGAAGCATTAGCCCAGCAAAGGGATATGAGCAATCAGTTAATGAGCAATCAATCCATATCGTACCTCAAAGCTCCTGTTTGAAAGGACAGTGTTAAAAAACAGTTTAGACATTGAACACCTTCTGAAAGAGAATCTTAAAATGTTCTATCTTTTGTCAACTTAAATATATCCATATTTGTTCAGTTTATTGATACTAAAGGAGGACATGAAAGAAAAGGTAGGTAATTTTCAGTGTTTGTGGAAAGAAAATGCATCTTAGCTAAAAAGCCAACCTTTTATTTTATTTTTTTTTGGTCTGGTCATGGGGCCTGAACTCTGGGCCTGGGCGCTGTCCCTCAGCTCTTCAGCTCAAGGCTAGCGCTCTACCACTTGAGCCACAGCGCCACTTCTGACTTTTTTTTTCCTGAGCCACCTTCCCAGCCCTACCAACCTTTCTTAATATTCCACATTTCCCTAGGTATGATACTATTTTCTCATTTTTATCAATTTATTTGGTGTGGAATTATCACAATCAGAATATATCACACCTGGATGACTAGAGAATGACTGCAGTTTTTAAAGTAGGATCTAAAAATAGAAAATTGCCACTAGGAAAATATTACAATATAGTTTAATAGACCAAAGAGTATTATTCAGATAGTCACAATTTATATAATAAATTTTAAACAAATATTAGAGTGATCTACTACTAATATAAATTCACCTGTTATCATTCTTATGACTAGCATGTGGTAGTCTGGTAGAGAATTCAGTAGCTGTCTTAAGTAGCTGTAAGGTCCTGACAGGGATTAATCTGTAAAACACTGGAGTCTAATCTGGAAAAACTGGCTGGAAAAACTGTTTTGTCCATGGGGTACAAAGCCACATAAAAGGCAGATTCTCTTTTTAGTACTAAAAATTTACAACAGCTTTGTTATTTAAAAACAAAGCCTGGATAAAGTTCATATGCAAAAGTGTTTTTACCTGTTTAGAGTCCACTTAAATGGGTACCTTCTGTGGTAGAAAGAATCTGATATAAAATTCATCCTGAGGTCTGGTTATGTAGCACAATTATTGGGTCTAGATCCTGCAACTCAAAGGACCTAAATCTTACTCCCTTATCTGAGCTAGTGTTAAATGTTCTTTAGATATGTGCTTGCTACAGACCAATAAATTTCACCATTTACCTGTATTAATGGGTTTATTCTGAAGTTCATTTAGTTTTCGCATTCGTTCCTCATTTCTCATTCTAAGCTGATCAACATTGACACTGGAGACAGATTTTAAAGAAAGACCATCTGGTAGTAGTATATCAGAACGACTATTATCCTGTCAAAAACCATAGGTTGTTAGAAGCATTCAATAACAAACAATCAGTGAACCAAAACCTATTAAACGTACTCACAATAAATGCACGTTGTGATGAACCAAATAAATGAAAATACTCAATGTGTATATTGGCTATGTTTATCTGTATGAGATGACTTTCAAGGTATTGTTGGGTCTGTGACGACACAAATGCTGTCAGTCTGGATATGGTTTGGAAATTAAGGGCACGAAAAGATAAAAGAGATGTTGACTTAATACACATAGAACCATGGAGGAGAAATAACCCAGAATTTAATTCTTGAGTGATACCAACAAAATGCAATAGGGGAAAAATTCTTTTAACAAGAATTGTTGAAATTCTTAAAACTGGATTTCTATCCTCAAAAAAATTAATTTAGATCCTCATACCATATGCATTACAGACCTGAGTCAAAGAGCAAAAACCATAAAGGAAAACAAATAATTCATTATAGTGGGTGGGATAATTGTTTCTTAGATAAAACATCATAAGCTACCAAATGGAAAAATATTTGCAAAACATACATTTGACTTACACCCTGAATATATAAAGAAGTCTTGAAGCTAAACAATAGGGCTGAGAATGTGATAGAGTGATTGCCTAGCATGCATGAAACCCTGGGTTCAATTCTTCAGTACCATATAAACAGTGACATTGGATTAAGTGGCACTAGCCTTAAACAAAAAAAGCTTAGGACACGGGCTGGGAAGGTGGCTCAGTGGTAGAGTGCTTGCCTTGCATGCCTGAGGCCCTGGGTTCGATTCCCCAGCACCACATAAGCAAAAAGACAAAAGCCGGAAGTGACACTATGGCTCAAGTGGTAGAGCACTAGCCTTGAGCTGAAGAGCTGAGGGGCAGCGCCCAGGCCCAGAGTTCAGGCCCCATGACCGGACCCCCCCCCCAAAAAAAAGAAGCTTAGGACAGTGCCCGGGCCCTGAGTTCAAGCCCCAAGGACTAGCCAAAACACACACACACCACCACCACTACCACCTGAACTGTGACATCAAAACACACAATATAAAAATGTAGAGCAGAATCCTGAGCTTCTGTCTAGCACAGCTCAGCACTCTTAGATCTGGATCCACCCTGCAGATTTGATCATAAAGGCCCAGTCCACATTTGTAAAGCCTGTAGGTACAAAGCCTGACATCTCTAATTTGTAGGCCATGTCCATGGAGCTCCCACACCGGGGACCTTATGAATTGTGCCAGATGGGTCTGATAGGCTACTTGCCTAGCAGATTTGCCCCAGGAGGTGGAAACAGCAAATATTGTGCGTGCCCAATATGCACAGGAATGCACCGTTGTCTGGAGTCATGGCTAGCATCTATTGCACCAAGACTGACTAAGATGTCCTGGAGGCCCTCCAAGTAACTACTTGTGGCACTTAAAAGAGAAAGCTAGTCAGTAAAGAAATAGCCATTGTCTGGTCTCCATAATCAATTCAATCTAATAGTGTCACTAAAAAAAAATGGACAAAGGATTTGAATCAACATCTCCAAAGAATATAGGAGCTAAAGAATAAAGGAGCTAAAGAAGAAAGCCATAGATATGGAAAAAGCACTCAGAAATTACCAGACAATGCCAAGAAATCTCATCTTCATATAATTGGGATTAATGAAGCAGAGGAATACCAGAATATAGGGATGCAACACTTACTCAATAAGATTATTACAGAAAATTCTCAAAAAGAAAAACCTCACCCACATAACAGAAGCATACAGAATACCTAGAAGACAGGATCCTAGAAGAAACACTTCTAGACACATTGTAGTAGACCTGCATTGCAAAGAGCTGATTTTAAATGCTGTAAAATGAAAGAAATTTAGTGTCACTCTCCATACAAAACCTCACCTCAAGGATCTCCTGGAAAAGTACCATCCTGAAAACCAGTAACTCCCAGCCCAGACTGCTGGCATATCCAGAGAAACTAGAATTTGCATTCGATGGAAGAAACTAAAATTACTATTAATAAAGAAAAATTAAAGGAATTCATGAACAAGAAGCTGGCACTACAAAAAAAAACTAAATAAAGGAATATAGCTCAAAGAACAGAAGATCAGGGAACCACATCAGACAGAAACCTAATGGAGAGTTTGCTTTATTAATATGAAATGAATGCCCTTTTTTTCTAATTGTAATTTGAAGTATGTTTTATCTGATATTAATATTACTACCCAAGCTTGTTTATGAGGGCCGTGTTTCTGGAAGGCTTTGTTCCAGCCTTTCACTTGAATAGTTAATATTTGAAGGCCTCAAGGCCATAGCTAATGAAAGACAAGGAAAGATAGGAATGGTTGCAGATTAGGTAAGCTAAGTAGACAGGATAACTAACCAGGCTAGATTATATTTTGTGATGGAAATAGAGTATTAATGAAAAATGCTGGTGAGTATTCATAAAGCCTAAAGCAGTTTAGTTTAAAGCATTACATCTCTTCGTAATTATACTAAGGTTCTGTGGGTTTTCAGCCTAGGGATGCTGATAAATGACAAAGTAGCTCTGAAATCTTTTTGTAATTATCCTATAAATCTAAAATTATCTCAAAATACAAAGTCAAGGAACTGTGTTTTCCCAAAGTCCCTTAAGTAGACTACAGGAAACTAGTGGCTTAAGAGGACACAAACTTGTCACAAATTTGAAATGTATTATGATATTGAAATTAGTTATGATCCTTACAGAAATCCTTTTACTGTACATTGTTCAAAGTATACCTATGCCTCAAACTTTGAACCAGTCAGTAATCACTGGCCTTTGTGTCTTGGCAGATACTTATTTAGTATCTGGGACAGTTTATCACAGCAAGTATACTTTCTTCAGGTTGATGTTTTGCTGCTTATATTTTTTGAATTCGTATTTTTGTTAACTTTGTGTTACAGCATACATTCTTTTCACAACCATGCAGCAATAGCTTCAGAGATTTGTAGGGGTATAAAATTTGAGACAGAAATTTGTTAATGAATTAGCTCAGAATTGCTAACAATGTAAACTGAGAATAATAATCCATTAAAAGGAAAAATTGCAAGAAGTATGTACTATAGAAAAGTTGAATTTTAACAAATTGTTACATTAGTCTGCTGTCTGAGATGAAAACTGTAAAAAGTAGCTGCAAGAACTATGATGTTTTCTTTAATGACATTTCTATAGAATGTTTCAGGACTTATTTAGTAAATTAAGGGTACAGATAAAAAAAAATTACTACCACCGACTGTTTCCAGAAACTTAGATCTAGTTGTGTAGATTTGGAAAATAAACTCTAAAAGCCTTAATTTGCTCACTAATAAAGTGGGGGTAATGAAATACATGAATCACAGCAGTAGTGAAGATCAAAATAAATGATACTTAGTACAAATATGAAACTTTCAATAAGCATCTTATAGAAGAAATAGTTACTGCTTTCATTGTTATTGCCATTGTATTACTGTGACATGTTGGAAAAATTACCTGTAACAATGTGTATAAATAAAAAAATTGAAAATGAAAAAAAAAAAGAAATAGCCAGGAAAATGCTGACAAGAAAGCTGAAGTTACTAATGTGTTATCAAGACTATTTTGTGAGGTTAAGGATATCTTTGATTATCATTAACTTTCACCCTTGATGCTTAGATAACACAAATATCTATATAAAATATAAAATTACATTTTTGTCAAAAAAATACAACTGTAAGGAAGGCCTGATGTTCAAAATCATTAGAGACCACACTCACTACATCGTTATAATCAATTATAGCCATCAGCAATACTGGCCAAGATGTGGACAAATTGGAACCCTCATATAATTTATAATGTAAAACAATACAGCTGTTTTGGAAAAGTCTGACAATTCCTCAAAATGTGACCACATGAGCCAACAATTATAGGCATATATTCAGAAAATAATAGAATCCTCTACATGAGTGCTAGTAACTAACAAAAAGGTGAAAACCTAAGTGTTACCACTGATGAATGAATAAATCTATTCATATAATGGTGCATTAAGCAATGAAATCAACATGGAAAATCCTTGAAAAATGATGAAATCAGTCACAAATGATCATTTATTCCTCACTTATATGTAATAGCCAGAAAAGGCAAATCTCTAGAGTCCAAAGTAAATTAGTGGTTTCCTAATTCAACAAAGTTTCCACCAATTGGTAAAGCTGTAAATATAATGCTATCAAGCAGCTTCAGTTATTTGTTGAGCACTTTCTGCATACCTGGCTCAATGCTCTGTGTTTTGCTGACATTAAATATATGTCATAGAAGGAAATACAAAGTAAGAAACTATTCAAAGTTGCCTACCAGATGAGAAAGTTACATGGGTACAACAGTAATGCTGAATTCACCTCTAAAAGCCTAGCTATAGTAGAAAATGATAATAATATAATTTCTGACTTTAAAAACCTACAAAAAGAAATTAAAGCAGAACTTAGGAAGTTGAAAAACTTCCCATGCTCCTGGATTGGGAGGATTAACACTGTAAAAATGGCAATACTTCCAAAGGCTATTTACAAATTCAATGTGATACCTATCAATATCCCAACTTCACCCTTTAATGAAATAGAAGCAGCAACCCAAAAATTCATATGGAACAAAAAAAAAAAGACCCCAAATAGTAAAAACAATCCTTAGCAGTCCTGGAGGAATCTCAATACCAAATTTCAAATTCTATGACAAAGTCATAGTAATCAAAACAGCTTGGTACTGGCACAAGAACTGGAATAGAACTGAAAACCCAGAAATGAACCCATAGACCTATAGCCACCTAATCTTCGATAAGGGAGCTAAAAAAATAGAATGGAAGAAAGACAGCCTCTTCAGTAAATGCTGCTGGCGAAATCCAAACACACGTGTGGAAAACTAAAGCTAGATCCTTCTATATCACCCTGCACCAATCAACTCCAAATGGATCAAAGACCTCAAAGTCAAAGCAGATACCCAGAAAACATTACTGGAAGGAATAGGAGAAACCTTAGGTCTCCTTGGCACAGGCTGAAATTCTCTTAATAAAGACCCAGAAACACAACAAATCAAAGAAAGATTGGACAAATGGGATTGCATGAAATTGCAGAGCTTTTGCATGGCAAAGGACATAGCTAGCAAGATTAATAGTAAGCCCATGGATTGGGAGAAGATCTTCACTAGCCATACAAAAGACAAGGGGTCTCATATCTAAAATATACTTAGAACTCAAAAAATTAAATCCAACAACAAATCCTCAAAGAAACAACTAAAGACCTAAACAGAAATTTCTCTGAAGAGGAAATAAGAACGGCCAATAGACACATGAAGAAACTCTCAACTTCCCTAGCCATAAAAGAAATGCAAATCAAAACAACATTGAGATTCCACCTCACCCCAGTTAGAATGGCTATAACCAAGAAATCTAATAGCATCAGATACTAGAGGGGATGAGGCCAAAAGGGAACCCTACTGCATTATTGGTAGGAGTGTAAACTTGTTCAACCACTTTGAAAGGCAGTATGGAGGTTCCTCAAGATTCCACATAGAGCTCCCCTATCACCCAGCAATCCCACTTTTGGGCATTTACCCAAACGATCACAAACAAGGCTAAAGCTACCAGCACAACTATGTTTTTACAGCAGCACTATTTATCATAGCTAAGATATAGAAACAACCCAGATGCCCCTCAGTAGATGAATGGATCAAGAAAATGTCGAATAGTTATACATTGGGATTCTATGGCTCCATCAGAAAGAGTGACATTACCCCATTTGTTAGGAACTGGAAAGACTTGGAAAAAATTATATTAAGTGAAGTAAGCGAGGTCCAAAGAAAAAAAGAGATGGGGAAGGAAGGGATGATAGGGGTAAGACAAAGGAGGAGGTAACAATGCTCAATGGGAAATGTACTCATTACCTTACTCATGTAACTGTAACTCCTCTGTACAGTATATTTACAATAAAAAATATAAAAACAATATAATTTCTGAGTACATGTGTAAAGTTTTGGAAAGGAGTGGAGAGAGATAATATGGGTTTGATTGTCAGTTGTCTTGCCTATTTGACCTTGGATGAGTCACTTAGGCAAAATGGGATGGATGCCTATATCACAATTAGGTGATTATAGGGTATAATAAGCTTTCTAATCAATTGTTTCAGTTGCTTCTTGTATCATCTCTGAATCCCATGTATTCTGTGGGAGAAAGATGAAGAAGGGACATTGATTCTGTGCCAACTATATGTATCTGAGGAGATGATAAAATACTATCTCAAAAGCAAAATAGCAGAGTTCAGTGAGCTAACAAGTGATCAAGCTAATGCATGATGGATAAAGGTAATTAATGTTTAAATCAAGAGCTCTTTATTGGACCACATAAGTTTAGGTGGGTGAGAACCCAGACCACTCACTCTAATAAACAGGAAAAAGTTAAGACACTTAATACCTACCAAGTCCAGTCCTTTCAATTTGTTCCTCCTCCGTTCCCTTGCAGAGGGTAGCTGTGACAGTAGAGGGAGGGCATCATCTTCAATGGCAGGGTATGTTTCACCATAAGCACCTAAACATACCACAGAAGGGAGAAGTATTATATTCGAACCATTTCAAATATAAAACCCAGGGTTAAACCAACAACATGGTTTGTCTTGTTTAGTTGCCAGTACTGGGGCTTCAACTCTGAGCCTTACACCCAACTTTTCATTCATAGATGGCACTTTATCACTGAAGCCACACCTCCACTTTAATCTTTTTGCTAGTTAGTAGGAGATAAATGTCTCAAGGATTTGTCTGCCTGGGAACCAGGTTCCAGCCTTCTGAGTAGCTAGGATTACAAGTGTAAGTCACTGCCTTATAGACATTATTTATGTACCATAAAATATACTCATTGTAACATACATAACTCAGTGATGTTTTCATGGATGTATAATGGTCATTACAATCTCAAATACCTCCCCCCATGCCCAGTAACAACCATTTCTCAGCCTGAGTTCACAATCTACTCTTCTTAATGATTTACCCTATCTAACATTTCACAAAGACAGAATTCTGAATACTCTTGTGTTTTTCACTTAGCACAATGTGCTTGAAGTTCCTCTACATTCTACCTTGTTTATTGCTGATTAGCACCTCATATATCACATTTTGTCTCTGCATTTACAAATTAATAAGCATTACTTACCTGTAAGTGCTTATGAAGAATGCTGCTTTGAACATTTAGGTACATGTCTTTTGTGTGGATATTTGTTTGCAAATATTGTTAATAATACCAGGTGTTAGCATAATATCCAGCAATTTCTTCGTTATGGTAACTCTTGGTATTGCTAGAGATATTACCATTATTCTAGAGAGTCAACAGCCTATTTAACCAGAATGTGGTTCAGAATTTTTGAAACAATTTAGACTTAGAGAAAACTTGGCTCAGTTTCTCCCAATGGTAATGTTCTATAAAAACACTGGGCGGGGGGGAAGCCTCACAACCAGGACACTGATGTTAATACAGTACTTTAACCTAGTGTTTCTAGTTTTATTTTTACTCATTTGTGACTATATATTAAGCTTAAGCTCTATATCTTATTATCTGATTACATTTGTGTATCTACTCCAACAAGATGGTCACTCCAAATCTATCAGGATCTCTCATTTTGTTCCTGTCCAACTACACAAACCTCACTCGGACCCCTGAGGCCATCATTTACCAGTTCTGTCATTTCAAAAATAAAGCAGAATCATACAGTGTATCAGGACTACTTTTTTTGCTTAGCATATTTTCTAAGAGTCATCCCAAGTGTCTACGTATTTCCATAGGTGGTTTCTTACTGCTGAGCAATATTCCACTGTATGGATGGATCAGAGTTTAACCCTTTACCTGATGAAGGACATCTTGGCTGATTCCAGTTTGGGGCTATTTTAAATAAATGGGTTAATGAACATTCATGTACAATTTTTGTGAGAACTACTCTTCTTTTTTTTGTGTGTGCTGTTTCCCAACTCAGGGCCTGGACACAATCCCCAAACCTCTTTGTGCTCAAGGCTAGCATACTACTTGAGTCACAGCACCACTTCTGGGTTTTTTTGTTTATGTGGTGCTGAGGAATCGAATCCAGGGCTTCATGCATGCTAGGCAAGCACTCTACCACTAAGCCACCTTCCCAGCCTCCTCTGACTTTTAAGATTCATTTTAGTAATTCTGATTTTGAAAACTTCATAAGCCATATTTGATATCACTCGTTAAGACAATAAAACAATGTTATGATTTTGTCATCTTGTTCAACAACAGTATTGGTTTCGTAAGCATGAAGGCACTTGAATATAAATACTGAATAACTAGTATAGCATTAGTAAATTATAGACATACTCACCAATAAAAGCACTATCAGATTCCAACAATGAATTTTTCAAAAAGTCAGTAGTGTCAGCTCTAGACTGAAAGAAACATCATATATTAATGGCTATTCTATGTAAGGAAACAAATTTACCCTAACAGGCAACTCAAGTACCTATGCTAAGTCCCCAAAAAGCAAAAAAAGATGGAGAGAAAGAGAAGTAGGATTGCTTCTATCCATCATCCAATCCAGTAACCCAGAGAAAATACTAGAAAGCATGAACACAGAAACTTCACCAAGCATTTACTCCTTAACTCCACCTCTTACTGTCCTCTTGTGGTAAAGTCAAAGGAGAGGATTATACTACTGCTAAATATGAAGCAGTGAATCAAAATGAAAGTTTTTAAAACATTACTGCGATTCACACATCCTTTCAGTAAATCTGTATAGCGTACTTCCCAAATCTCTGCCAAGAATGGGGATTGACACAATAGTGAATTAAGAGGCTCTATTCTAGAGTAGAAAGATTATAGTCCAATGAAGGAAAAGGAGACATGCCTTCAGATAATGATACCATGGCAAAACAATTCTCAAGACGTCGTAGCTCACATGCTGGGACATACAGGAAGGAAAAAATAGTGCACTAGGCATGTTGAGTTCACAAAGGAGACAAATTTACGTATGAAGAATTTTATAGTATGTCAGAAGGAATCTTAAGTCATCTAACAAAAACTCCTTGCACCTCTCCACATTTCTGGTTAGAACACTAGAAATAAATTAACTTAATAAGTTTTAAGGCAATAAATTCTACTTTGGGCCAGCATTCATCATTAAAAAGTTCTCTTCCATTGAATTCTTCTATAGATGTAATTCATGTCTCCTTTTAATTTGCCACCCACTGAGTCTACTTACTTTCTAGGTCTTGGCAGCTGTTCTCAGCATATTACACGCCTAGCACCCAACTTCTCTCTTGCATTACAGTCCTTCACATACTTCAGTGTTTGTTCTAAGTCTACCTAAACCTTAATCCTTTCCATCCAATCATGTTCAATTTCATCCTACATAACTTTCTAAATAATCTCGTTTCTAGGGAGATCAGGAGTCCAATATTTATTTGCGTTTTTAAGAGCCATGTAAACTTCTGGCATATGCTGAGCATGTACTCAGCCTAGTCTGCTTCTAATCCAAGATTTTAACAAAAGTTCCAGCTCTTAAATTTCAGTATCTTTTCACTAAGAAATGTGACCATTACATAGGGAAAAACATACCTAACTTCAGTGCCTGCCAGATAGGTGTTAAGGTATCTCAGAGCATGTGCTATGTGACAGTAGGTGTCTGGGACCAAGTGTGGGTTCAAACGTGGGTTTACTGCTCATTGGCTTGGTGACTGTGGATAAGATAATAAGCCTTTAAGCTCTACGTGAAAACTGTAGCTATTAGCAATATCATCAGTTTAAAATCAAGCACCAACATTTGTTAGTAACCCTGAGCAACTAAGAACTGAGCTTTAAACATTTTTAAATAGGGGAAAAAGCCATGGTCCATGGCTCATGCCTGCAAACCCAGCTATTCTAGAGGGAAGATAGGATCGATCAAGGCCAGCCAAAGGGGGGAAAAACGTGAGCAAAACCCCATCTGAACGGATGAGCCAGGTATGGTGGTGCCTGGTAATTCAGCTACAAGAGAGACTAGAGGCAGAAGTTTAAGGCTAGTCCTAGGTAAATATTTGAGACCTTGTCTGAAAAATAAAGCAAAAAAGGGCTCAAGTGGTAGGCAGAGCTTGTCTAGCAAGTACCATCATACTGAGTTCAAATCCCAGTACCTCAAATAGGGTTGGGAGTGCGGGGCGGGGAGAGATTTGATGGAGTAACAGGGGAGAAATACTTCCAATATCCTAACAGTGTTATCAAAATTAAATTTGTATTTCCAGCCTCCCTCTTTCTCCCTGGACTCATATCTATGTATGCACCATGTATCCTATTGGGTCTCCTACTAAAATCCAAACACTTCAAGACTACTCTCTAGGATACTCTTGCCCAGATAGTTATAAAACCCATATGCTCAGTCTACTATCAACATGTGATAGTGACTAACAAAAATATAAAACAGCTGGGCACTGGTGCCTTAAGTCCATAACCCTAGCTACTCAGGAGGTTGAAATCTCAGGATCACGATTCAAAGTCAGCCTGGGAAGGAAAGTCTGTGAGACTCTTTGTTTTTGTTTTGTTTTGTTTTGGTGCTGGTCCTGTGGGGCTTACTCAAGGCCTGGGCACTGTCTCTGAGCTTATTTTGTTGACGGCTAGCATTCTTCCACTTAAGCCACAGATTCACTTCCAGCTTCTTTGGTAATTTAATGGAGATAAGAGTCTCCCAGACTTTCCTGGCCAGCCTGGCTTTGAACTGTGATCATCACATCTCAGCCCTCTGAGTAGCTAGAATTACTGGGTTAAGCCACCAGTACTTGGCTCTATGAGACTCTTCTCCAATTAACCACCAAAAAGCCACAGCTCAAATGGTAGAGCACTAGCCTTGAGCACAAAAGTACCGAGACAACAGCCAGCCCTAGGAACAGCTCAAAAAAAGAAAGGAAACTAATTGGTACCATTCTTCCACTGCGAAGCAGAAAGGCAACCCTGACATTGTCCCTCAATTATCACTGCTCTGACCCATCAGGTCCTGCTCACCCTTGCTCAAGAACCTCCTGACTACCCACCTCTCCCCAGTGTCTGGTTCAAACATTTTCTTCTCAGTCTCAAATGCTAACTGTATTTCAAATTGTAAGACCTCACATTCTAATACTCTCCAATCACCTTCCTTGATATTCCTGTTTTGCCCAACAGCATGATGTAACGTAATAGATCAGCAGACTGTCTTTCTTTCTGGAATCTAAGCCCAGAGGGCAGGAGTTTTAACTTCTACTGAGTCCTGAATCCTGACTACGTGGAACAATATTCTGGTCCATAAAAACTATTCACTAAGTCTCTGTTGAATGAAAATGGCTCATCCCTTCCCTTTAAGCAGTTTTGCACAGAAGTAATATCCACAGGATAAGAGTGAGGTTATCACTAGTACCTTATTTTCTTTACAGGCCTTACCACTTATGTTAGATTTTTGGCTACTGCTAATATTAATACAACACATACTTTGCACTCAGTATGGGCCAGGCCCTATTACAAGGACTTTTAATCCATATAAATAACCCTTCTCCTGCATTTATTTTATTAACATCCTTCTGCTGTATGAAGGGAGTTTCACTTGGACATTCCCATACATGTTTACAATGTATCCAAGCAAACTCACTTCCTCTATCACTCTCCCTTACCGCACTAACCTTCTTAAAACAATTTCAACAGGTTCTTCTGTTCTACTTTCACATACACAAACGAAGAACTACTTTAATCATATTGATCCTCATATTCTCTCTTTATTAAACCCTTTCTCTTCTGCTGGCACTCCTTCCCACCAACAAAGCATGTTTGACTTTTTATTATTTATTACTTATTTATTTACTGTATTTTTATTAACTAACATTTATACAAACCTTATCACATCTTAAACTTGTCCAGTCATAGCTGGAAAATGTCATTTTAATTGTCATAGTAACCCTCAGGGTTAAGTACTAGCATCTCTATTTTATAGATAATAAGAAACCAAGGCAGGGATTAAATGTACCAAAATAAGTCACACAGCCTAGCACTGGGAGCTTCTTAGCACTTATGTCTCTTCTATGTATCATGTTATCAATTTTCTAGATACCTGGTACACTGATTAAAACTTAAAAATCTCTTAATTTTCTCAAAAATTAAAAATTTGTAATATTCACTTTTCATATTCCTAAAATTTGTTCCCTCAAAACCTAACTTTAAAAATTAGAACTAGTATGAGAAGTACAAGTTGTCATGTCGAAAACGAGCTTTACAATGTTGGTGGAGGGGGGGGGAAGGATTGGGTGGAGGGGGAGTGGGAGGCTGGGAAGGGATGTGAAGGGTAAACAAAGGAGGAGGCTGCAATGCTTGGTAAGAAATGTATGCATATCCTGCCCATGTAATTGTAACCCCTCTGTACAGTATGTTCACAAATAAAATAAAATTTAAAAAAAAATTAGAACTAGTTACTTACCATTCTGTGCCCTCGAACTTTAGCCCTTGGGATAACATCTAAGTCAACTGTAGTCAAAACAGAACAAAAACAAGTTAAAAGTTTAGAAAATATTCAATAAGTTTCAGATTCTCTTTTCTGACTAGCTCCTTACTCTAAATTCCTTTCCATCTACCATACCTCAAAAAATTCTTAGGACACTTCTTATTAATAAACCTAACTCTACGTCCATTCTAGATAAAACTTCCCTGTTCACAATACTAAATATAATTAACTTTAAACTGATGCCTAAGAACCAGAAACTGATTGATACAGGAGTCTTCACCATATTCTACCATATTTCTGTTGTCTGTATAGAAAGCCATTGGGTGCACTTGAACAATGAATTAAAGTAGGCTAATTCTTTGTTGTTGTTTGTTGTGTTTTTCTACTAACCTAGTCCAGGATTTGACCTCTGGCTTCTATTATCTGGTACTGAAGACATGTGCTTTGATTCATGTCATACCCTGATGAATTTTGTTTTTTGGGGGGGAGAATTGAACTTTATTTTTTTATTGTAAGATACTGTACCGAGGGGTTACCTTTACATGAGTAAGGTAATGAGTACATTTCCTGTAAGGTCTGAACAGGGACACCTCTCTCCCTCTTGGCTAAGTTTCTGCCCAGTATTTGTTACCTAGGTAACTGGCAGACCTGGAAGCAGTCACCTTCCCCTCCTGCTAGTCCTGGGCCATCTCTGGTCACATGCCTCCAATCTGACCTTAGGAGGGTCCTAGAGCCTGAGGTCACATCCAGATCCAGTGTGGAGTGCCCCCCCCCCGCCCCACTTACCTTTTCCGCCATGCCTCTCACCATGCATGGTGTGGGCAGTAGTTCAGTAAATAAACTTCTTTTCCTGCCTGAATAGCACGTGGTGTTCTACTCATCAGCTACCTAATGAAACCTACCTATTTAATATACCTTACATTTCCTATCAAACATTGTCTTCCTCCTTTGTTTTTCCCCTACCATCCCCCTTCCCTCCTTACCCCCTCCCTCTTCCCTGCCAAAATTGTAAGTTCATTTTCAACATAAGTGTCTTGTACATCTCATTGTTACAATGGGTCAACCTGTATCCTTATTTCAGCATTTTGTTATTCCCCTTCCCTCCCCAAATTAGAAAAATGTGTATACAAGATGCAGGGCACCGACATCAAATACAGTGACAACTGTGGGGGAAGAACATACCAAAGAAACAAAAAAAGCCACATAGTACATTATAAATATGTTAAAAACAATAGCAAGAAAGAAAAAACCACTTGTGTCCCTGTCTTGTGGTTCATTTCACTTAACATCACATCATCTTATATGGTCATATATATATAGCTTTTGACTTTTTCTGCTTGTCCTAGACATATAAGTAGGCTAAATTCTAAGAACATAGAATTCTTTTTTTACCTAGTTCCAGCAGCAAAGATTTTTTTTAATTGTTTAAATTGTGAAGGTGATGCGCAGAGAGGCTACAGTCACATAGGCCAGGTAATGAGCATATTTCCTTTTGAACAGTGTCACCCCTAACTCATTTTCTGCCACTTTTTCCCCTCATGCTCCCCCTCCTCCCCATCAAATTGTAAAGTTCATTTCCAACATAATGTCTAGTGAATATCATTGCTGAATTTGTTCACCTTTTGTCTCACCATTTCTGTGATTCTCCTTCCCCTTCCCAAATCAGATAAACGTATATACAAGACAAAGGGTTCAGGAATCAAAAACAGTGACAGAAGGGAGTAAACCAAAGAAAAAATGGAAAGGAAAAAAGAATTTTGCTTCCATTTCTTGGAGTTCATTTCCATAAACGTTTTATATGATCATATGCACATAGCTATTGAGCCCTTGTGATCCTTTCCTAAGAATAACCTCCTTTATTCTTATTGTGTGAATGTTTAGAGTGCTGTTTAACTAATCACAAGTGTAATTATTTGTCTCTTACTATCCACTGGGTTTACCTGTAGACTTTTAGGCGCATTCTAATTATTACAAATAAGGGAAAACATGCAGTTTCTATTTCTTTGGGTCTGGCTTACTGTGCTTAGTATATCTTCCAAGTCTTTCCATTTCCTTATGATGGGGCTATATCAATCTTTCTGATGTAAGCAGAGAATTCTATTATGTATCTATCCCATTTTCTTGATCCATTCATCCACCAAAGGGCATCTGAGTTGATTCCAGATCGTGGCTATGTTAAATAATACTGCAATGGACATGGATGTGCTGGTGGCTTTAGTGTAGCCTGGTTTGTAATCTTTCGGATAAATGCCCAGGGGTGGGATTGCTGGATCATAGGGAAGCTCTATGTTTAGTCTTTTGAGGGACCACCATACTAGTGTACTAGTGTTCCCTTTTGGCCACATCCCACCACCATCTGTTATTATTAGTTGTCTTGATTATAGACATTGTAACTGAGGTTTGGTAGAATCTTAGTGTTGTTTTGATTTGCATCTCTTCTATTGCCACAAATGTCAAACTTTTCTTCATGTATCTACTAGCCATTCTTATTTCTTCTTCAAAGAATTCTCTCTTTAAGTCTTTAGCCCATTTATTAATTGGGTTGTTGTTTCTTTGAGGATTCAAAATAAATCCTCAAAGAAACCTCCCAAAATAGGGAGGTTTAATGTTTTGAGCTATGAGTATATTTTAGATATGAGGCCCTTGTCTGATGTTAAAGATCTTTTCCCATTGTATAGGCTTTCTATTTATCTTCAGCAGCAAAGATTTTAAGGAGAAAAAAGAAGAAGAACCTTATGAAAGAGGGACAGGAAGCTGAAAAGTAGAGAGATATAGAGTCTACAGATTAAGCTTGGAAACACCTAGTACTGGGCCCACTAGTTAGTTAGCTTTGGTGACAGACTGGGGGATCTCAAAGTAAGAAAAGCCTTCACTTCCCACATGTCTGAACCCAGGACAGAGATTTAGTGGACAGTGACACCCTCTGTGTGATAGTTTCAGCCAAGGAGGACATTCTTTTTTCTTTTTGGTCAGTCATGGGGCTTAAACTCGGCCTGGGTGCTGTCCCTTAGCAATTCAGCTCAAGGCAAGCATGCTACCACTTAAACCACAATGCCACTTCCGGTTTTCAGTTGGTTAATGGTGACCAGCATTTTTTTTTTTTAAACTCCACATCTTGGAGGCTGTGGCAGATGTTGTCTAGAGAAAGGAACTATTGTTCAAGACAACCAAGGAACTAAAAATTAAGGACCAAGCCAGGTGCCGGTGGCTCACACTTATAATCCTACCTCTTCAGGAGCTGAGATCAGAGGATCAAAGTTCAAAGCCAACCCCGACAGGAAAGTCCACAAGACTCTTATCTCCAATTAACCACCAGAAAACAAAGTGGTGCTGTGGCTCAAGGAACAGCTCCCATGCCCAGAATTCAAGCCCCATGACTGACAAAACAAAAAACAAAAAACTAAGGAACAATGACAGCTCATGGAGTATGCACAACCAGCCACTATATCCCAGAAAGAGACAGCCATGAGAAGGTGCTATGGAGAGGGAGAGGCTCTAATAAGGGCCAGGTGGGAAATCCAATCAACTGAAAGCTCAGTTTCATCAACTGAAAGAAGAGGACACAGTGCTCAGAAGGCCCACCCTCACTGGCATGATGGGAGTTTTACTGTGTGAGGAACATTTTGGAAACAGCCTGGAGCCCATGTCTAGCAGAATGCTTAGGTCCCAAGGAGCTGCCACCTGTCTGAGGTCAGATAGGTTTTGAGAATGAGCTACCCTGAGAACTTGAAAATTAAAGAATAATCTCAGCTCTGGGGAGTCTTAGAAAACCAGGTCAGTACTAGAAAGGAGAAGACCACAAGAGATAATTGTGAATAGCACCTAGCCCATGGCTGTTGATTACCTGTTGACCGTAGGTACCTGCTGCCAGATGGGGCTGAGAGCTCTGGGAATAATTTTATATCACCCAGTGTCTTCCCTGTGATAGGGTGATGAACTGATGAGCAGGGACTAAAAGCACTGAGATCTATAGGCAGAGCAGTACCTCAGTTCTCCCATAAGAATTCAATTCTCGCTTTTCCCACTATCAGATACAATTGGGGGACACTCCTATGCTGGCATACGAGCTCCTCCAAAGGGTACAAAAATTGGGAGGCCTGTGCAGCAAGTGAGAATCATCCTAGCTCATAAACTACAAATCTCCATGAAGTCAGAAGCAGTTTTCAACATACAAGGAAGATCACCTCAACTGAAAGACTACAGGTGATAAAAACTCAGCAAGTAACTTGCCTCAAAAATACCCAAATCCTGGGGCTGGGAAGGTGGCTCAGTGGTAGAGCGCTTGCCTTGCATGCCTGAGGCCCCGGGTTCGATTCCTCAGCACCACATAAGCAAAAAGAAAAAAGCTGGAATTGGTGCTGTGGCTCAAGTGGTAGAGCGCTAGCCTTGAGCTGAAGAGCTGAGGGACAGCGCCCAGGCCCAGAGTTCAGGCCCCATGACCGGACCAAAAAAAAAAAGAAGCTCAGGGACAGTTCTAGACCCTGAGTTCAAGCCCCAGGACTGGAAAAAAAAATACCCAAATCCAATGCAAAAAAAAAATCAACAATTATTAACAACAACAAAAAATCAACACAACTTCCTCAAAAGTCAACAATCCCAAAGTAATAGAGACTAGGGACAGTAAAGAAGATGAAAGATGAAAGCCCAGACGAAGGAATGCAAAAGAATGATTATGAGAATAATCAATGAGTTAACTGTATATCCTATATGACTTCAAAGAGAAAAACTTAAATACACTTCCCAAACATACAGAAAAAATGTCCTACAGGGCACTAATGCATTCTCTCAGCCTTTTTGTAGCTCGTAGTTCCTGGTATAGATGTAACCAGTCCTGACCCAAATATTCAATCTTTCTGGCTACAATGACCAGGTAGGACCCTCTCATATATGAATACAGGACTCTGACCCCTATTGAACCAACCAAGATGCTCTCTGAGACTTGTTCTTTTGTGGGACCATTTGGCAAAGGGCCAGGTAAGCATGGAACAGCCAGTGGAGAAACCTGTCTGAGACTGAAAATCAAGAGAGGTCACAAGGGAAGCTGACAAAAGAAAACCCCATTGATGCTATTTTAAATGGCAATGATTGTTTCTCACCTTCAGCATCTTCCTGTATTTTTAATCTATTTAGCCTCTTCTGCTGCTCTCTCAGCAAGGCTTGCTGCTGAATCTCTAAGGTATGTTGATCTCTTGGAGGATCTGGGTACATAAATTTCAGATCAACTCGTGTTTCTGAATCTGGTACAGAAAAATACATGACATAACCAAGGTAAACATTTTCAAATGAGATTTTACAAAGACCTTCACATAAATGTTTGTAACAACTTTATTCATAACTGTCAAAACATGAAAGCAACTAAGATGTTTACTAGGAGATAAATGGATAAACTGTGAAATATTATTAAACAATGGAATATTACTCAGTAACAAGAAAAAATGATCTTTCAAACCAAGAAAAGGCATGGAGGAAAATCGAATGCATATTAATTATTAAGTGAAAGAGGCCAATCTGAGGAGGCTACATGCAATATGATACTAACTATATGACCTTTTGGAAAAAGCAAAGTATGTAAACCATAAAGGGATTAGTAATTGCTAGGGGAGAGGAAACTGAGTTGGTATAGCATAGAGGGTTTTTACAGTTATGAGATTATTCTGTATTTTATTACAACAATGGATATGTATCACCATACATTTGTCCAAATTGATAAAAAAAATCTCAAAGTAAGCTATAAGCTTTGGATGATACTCATTTGTCAATATGGGTAAATGGATTGCAATAAAGTGTATGACTATGCTGCAGGATGCCCATAATGGAGGAGGCAGAGAAAATGTTGAGACAGAGACTATATGCAAAAACTCTCTGTATATCCTATTCAGTATTACCATAAACCTAAAAGTGCTTTACAAATAAAATTCATTAATGTTTTCTTAAAGAAATTTTTGTATACTTTATTATATGTAACAACATAGTGAGATATCACCAAAGTTGAAGGATGTTAAAACAGCCATAAAACTAAAAACCATGACATTAATATTCTCCAATAAATGTCCTTTACAAAAACGTATATATCAACATTATAAGAAATCTTCCAGGACAAGTAGCAGTTTATGATAATGCACCTTCATCCTGATTTGCCCCTCTTCCTGCCAAGAGGACAATTCTGTGTAGGTACATACAAGTGATGAGTCACAGGCTATGATACAGAAAGCCATACTGTTTATAGCTGATACCTAAAACACATTGAAGAAATAAAAACAAGCCATGTACCAGTGTCTTATGCCTGTAAGCTACTCAGGAAGCTGATATCTGAGAATCATGGTTCAAAGCCAGCTCAGGCAGGAAAATTCTTGAGACACTCATCTCCAATTAATCAGCCAAAACCTGGAGGTGGAGTTATTGCTCAAGTGAGTAGAGCACTAGTCTGGAGCAAAAGAAGCTCAGGGACAGTGCCAGGCCTTACTCTGAACCCCAGCCTGGCATGTAAACATACACAAAAATAAAAAAAGGAAACAAAAAACCCAGTAAATTAATATTTTATTCATTGCAAATATCACGTGAAAAGCAAAATAATTTCAAACAGCCTGGAATTTTAGGAGATATTTAATTACCAAAAGAAATGTTAGTCTAAGAAGCTGTCTCTGCCAAGATTGAATTATAATTTATCAGAAGCAAAATAGTAAATAGTATGTTTTAAATCTTGAGAATAAAAATATAGCTTATATATAAAAGCCACGAAAGTATTATCTTAAAGAAATTACCTTAAATATATAAAAAGCTTTATGTGAAAGTAAAAACACACCGACTAATTAGAAAGCAGTTAAAGAGCAAAGTTAGTTGAGGTGACTCTGCACACAAACTAGGATGAAACCCAGACCTTATTTTCCAGACTTAGTTTCCATTCTATTGATAACAATACCACGTCATATTGACTCGATGTGGTAAATTAGTCAATTCCATGGTAGTTCAAACCTTTTTTTAGTCATAAGTCCTTTGTAAATACATAATAATTAAGGACCTCAAAAGACCTTTTATTTAGATTGCATTTCTATATACACATATATGCCACATTTGAAATTAAAACTAGTGTTAATAACATGGAAATACCCAAGCACAGACTATTAATGTTGGGGCAATAAAAGCATCATATTTTATGTACCCTCTGTAAAACAGTTAACATATGAGGGGGAAAAATTTTGTTTTGTTTTTGTCTGTTGTGGAGGTTGAACTCAGAGCTTGGGTGTTGTCCCTGAACTCTTTTGCTTCAGGCTAGCACTCTACCACTTTGAGCCACAGCTCCACTGCCAGGTTTTGAGTGGTTAATTGGAGATAACAATCTTACGTGACTTCAATGCCCAGGCTGGCTTCGAACTGTGATCCTCAGACCTCAGCCTCCAGAGTTGCTTGGATTATGGGTGTGAGCCAACAGTACCCTTCAGAAAAAAATACTTTTTTTAAATGTCAATCTATAATAAAAAGTTTTGTCTACAGATGTCCTTGAAGCTCTCTTTGAGACTCAATGGCTTAACACAATGCCTAGTAGATAGTAATCATAAAAAGTAAGCATAGGGCTGGGAAGGTAGCTCAGTGATAGAGCGCTTCCTGGGTTCTATTCCTCAGCACCACATAAGCAAAAAGAAAAAAGCTGGAAGTGGCACTGTGGCTCAAGTGGTAGAGCGCTAGCCTTGAGCTGAATAGCTGAGGGACAGCGCCCATTCCCAGAGTTCAGGCCCCATGACCGGACCCCCAAAAAACAAAAAAAAAAAAGTTATTGAAGCACATGTAAATTGATATGTAACTCTAAGTGAAAAAATGGAAAGAATATAAAGAAGTAGGATAATCTTTTTTGTTGTTTTAAATATGCTCAGACAGAAGACTAGGAAATACTCAAAATGTTAACACTGTTTGTATGTAGGAAACTTGACTAATGTCATTTCTCTATCTCTGTGTTTTTAGGAAATCTGTAATAGTAAATAGATATTACTTTCTTTAAAAAAAAAAAAAAAGCCTAGTGAAGTAGTTGCGGCTCATGCTTGTAATCCTAGCTATCCAAGAGGTTGAGATCTAAGAATCATGGTGTAAAGCCAGACTGAGCAGGAAAGCCACGAGACTCTCACCTCCAATTACCCACCAAAAAGTTAAAAGTGGAGCTGTGGCAGAGTGCCAACCTTGAGTGCAAAAGGTAAGAGACAGCATCCAGGCCCTGAGTTCAAGCCCTAGAACTGGCAATCAATCAATCAAAAGCTTAAATTCTAGTTTATCTGATATTGTTGGATGATCTCCTGATCCAACTAACACTTTCCAGTATTCTTGTCACATGATCCTTTCTTGTTATACTATCTTAGCTTTCAGGATTCCATATTTGCCTGATTTTTCACTGATCAACAACTTCTTTTCCTTAGTCTTTAAGTTCATCTTCCATTGTCCATCCTCCACTGAATTACAATTTTCATTCTTTACATTTCTCTACACAATTCATCACATCAAGGTTTTAATAATTATCTGCTCTCCAAAAGAAAACTTTTAACCAAAAGGGAGGAAAGAGGGGGAAGCACAATATAATATCATTATCTAGGATACATGTAAAGTTTTATTCATAACCTAAAATATGTATTATAAATGAAAATTTAAGTTAGAAAGCAGAAGTATTTTTAAAGATTTTTTAATATAGTAGAACACTTGCTGTATATTTAAAGTAACAGTATGTACTTACCTCTATCTTTAAGCTCATTAAAATCATGAATATTCTGAAAAGTGGTAGTATCTAAGCCCTTAGGTGATTGTCTTCTGAAAGGAGCTTGGACCCGATGTCTGGCCATGTCAAATATATCCATAGGATTCCTTTCTTTTTTCCTATAAATAAATGTAAAAATCAATGATGAATGTGCTGAATGGGAAGAAACTGTGAGTTCACATTTAATTCACTAAAAAGCAATTTGCATCTTTTTTTTTTTTTTGGTTGGTTGTGAGGCCTGAAATTAGGCCCTGGGTGCTGTCCATCAGCTCTTCAGCTCAAGGCTAACACTTTACCACTGAGCCACAGCGCCACTTCCGTTTTTTTCAGCTTATGTGGTGCTGAGGAATAGAACCCAGGGCCTCATGCATGCAAGGCAAGCACTCTACCACTGAGCCACCTTCCCAGCCCCAATTTTGCATCTTTTAATGCATTATAAAAGTTACTATAATAGCTATTATTTCAAGTCCTTTAATATTAAAAAATAAAGTATTTATAATACTAGATGGAAGGCACCTTATTGCATGGTAGAAGAGCTTCAGAGTATACCAGATGATGGTTGATAGCTGATACCACCTTAGTTTGCCACAGAAAGGTGGCACCAGATACTTAATTGCCAGGTATGGTGTAGCTACTTCTATATAATGGCCAGCTACTCCACACTTTTTTGAGGTGGCATAGGTTAGCAATGTGACCCACACATGGACTAGGTTTCTGGGGTACTTCTCTCCTCAAAAGCACTGATAGATACCAATATCATAATAGTAGGATACTTCAATACTACACCCTCACTGATAGACAAGTCACACAAACAAACAAACAAAACAAAAATCAACCAGGAAACCTTAGAGCTAAATGACACTATAGACCAAATGGTATTAACAGAAAATTACAGAGTATTTCACCCAGTATCTGAACAACACCCATTCTTCTTACTAGCCCATGGGACTTTCTCAAAAGTAGATTGTGTCCTAGGACATTCTCTAAGTCTGAGCAAATACAAGAAAATTTAATGAAGCTCTGTATTCTATCAGATCAGATTGGATTCTATGAAGCAAAGGATACTACAGAAAACATTCAAACACATAGACTGAACAACCACTGGAGACATGTGGGTCACTGAAGAACTAAAGGTAGAAAACAAAAAGTCTCTGGACACAAATGACAACAAAAAGACTACTATTAGAACCTCTGAGATAAGAATTATACAAAGAATCAATGAGATAAAAATTGGCTCATTGAAAAAATAAGATGGATAATCCTCTAGCTAATTTGGACAGAAGAAGATGGGAAGAGACTCAAATCAATAAAATTAGAGATGAAAAATGGAACATCACAACAAATAACACAAAATTCAAAGGATCACAAAAATATGTACTCAAATAACCTGGAAGTCCTAGAAGAAATGGATCAATTTTTAGGTATCAATGACCTATTGAAAATAAATCAAGAAGATATAAACCATTTCAACAAAGTTATAACAAACAATGAGATTAAAACAGTAAGAATATCTCCTAACAAAGAAAAGCTCAAGGCTAGATAGACTGATAAATTCCATACCTTCAAAAGAGAACAAATACCAATACTCTACAAACTCTTCCATGAAATAGAAAATGAAGGAATAGTAGCAGAACTCATTTTATGAAACAAGTATTATATTCATGCCAAAACCAAACAGAGATGGACAAAAAAATGAATTATAGACCAATCACACTGATGAACATAGATACACAAATTCTCAATAAAATCTTTGCAAACAATTAACATATTAAAGTTATTGTAAATAAAGCTGCTATACTTTTTTTTAAGTCTCCATAGGAAGGGAGATAATATGGGGGAGAAATTTTGTCTTTGAGCAGTAAATGATAAACACAGAAAAAGAAGAACTCATTAAAATCATATGGCATGATCAAATTGATTTCATCCTAGGGATGTAAAAATGGTTCAGTCTATGTAAATCAATAAATACATCACATAAATAAAGCCAAGAACAAATATCACATGATTATCTTAATAAGGAAAAAGCCTTCTGACAAAATTCAATAAAAAAGCCCTGAAGAAACCAGGAGTAGAAAGGAAAGGTTATATATGACAAATCTATAACCAACATCTGAAATCATTTCCCTTAAAGTCAGAAATAGAAAAGTATCACATCTGTACTTAAGCCCTTTTCTAGAAATGATAACTATCTTTGGAAAGGTAACAGGATACAAAATAGTAAACACACACACACACACACACACACACACACACACACAATAGCTTTTCTATATACCAATAATGAACAGTCTGAAATAGAAGAAACAATTCTGCTCATACCTAGGAATTAACCAAAGTGGTGAAATACTACAATTAAAGTGATAAAACACTGAAGAAAAAAAAAATCAAAGACACCAGAGGATGGAAGAACATTCCATGTTCATGGATTGGCAGAATATTGTGAAAATGTCCATATTACCAAGAAATCTACAAATTCAATAGAACATCCATCAAAATCCCAATAACATTCATCACAGAATTACAGAGATAAAAGCAAAAGTTGATAAGGAGGAATCAAAGATTCAGAATAGTGAGAGCAATTAATTCTAAGTCAAAAAAAGAGCACTGCTGAAGCTATCACTATGTCAGACTTCAAATCATACTACAGAGCTACAGTAACAAAAATAATTTAGTACTGGCATAAAAACAGACCCAAAGGCCAAAGGAACAGTACAGAAAGACCCAGGAATAAAACCAGGTATCTATAGCCAAGTAATTTTTGACAAAGAAGCCAACAACATACAATGAAAAAAAAGACAGCCTCTTCAACAAATAATTCTGGGAAAAATTGGTATTTAACTGCAGAAAATTGAAAATGGAACTCTATTTCTCACTTTGTATAAAACCAAGTCCAATTGGGTCAAAGAGCTCAAATAAGAGTTGAAACTTTAACTCCACTACAGGAAATTATAGAAGGTAGCCTGGAAGTTATAGGCATAGGTAGGTAAATTTTTTCTGAAGAAGACTCCAGACGTCCAGAAGTAAAATCAATAAATGGACAGAAGCAACAAAATGGGACTATATCAGAATTTCTGCATAGGAAAAAAAAAATCACCAGACTCAAGAGACAACCCACGAAATGGTAGAAAATCTCCTCCAGCTATTCCACAGATGAAGGATTAATATCCAGACTATATAAAAAAGTAAATAGCAGGAGAACAAATAATCCAATTAATAAATGGGCAAATAAAATGAAAAAATAGTTCTCACAAGAAGATATCCTAATACAAAAACATGAAAATATTCAATATACTAAGCCATAAAGGAAATACAAAGAAAAGCCATACTAAGGTTCCATGTCACCCCATTCAGCACAACAGCCATTAAAAAAGAGCTAATACTGGAAAAGATGCTGAGATAAAGAAACTGTCATGCACTGTTTGTGGGAATGTAAACTAAGGTAGCTACTATAGCAATCAGTTTGGAAAAATAGGGGATTGGAATGTGACTTAGTAGTAGAGTGATGAAATCCTGGATTTGAGGCCTCAGTACCACACAAACAGAAAAATCTGGGAGTAGTGCTGGGCAAGAAAAGCTCAGGGACAGTGCCAGGTCCTGAGTTCAAGCCCCAGGACTAGAAAAGAATACTAAAAATAGATCTTCCTTATGACTCTGTCATACCACAATTGGGTATATATCTGATGGAGAGTAAATTAATATAACAGAAAGATGCTGTATATCTATGCTTCTTGCAGCTATTCATAATAGCCAACAAAAGATGAATAAGATGTAACACACACAATGGAATTTTTATGGAGCCATGAGGAAAAATGAAACCATGACATTTGCAGGAAAAAAAAAAGGAGCAACTGGAGGATATACTGGGCTAAGTTCCAAAAAAACATTATAGTCAGATGTAGAAGCTAGACTAAAAAACATAAATACTCATGAACATGGACATACGTATATCCATATACACATTTGTTTATATAGATAAATACAGAAACTCAGAATTAAACTAAAGGACTACTACTTAACAGAAGAAAAAGAAGGAAGAGAAAAAAATAGAGGGTGAAGAATTTTATAATATACTGCAAGTATGAAACAGCCTAAAAATTTCAAAAAAATAATTATTTAAGGAAAATGCAATTGTGTCTGATTATTCCAATCTTCAAATGTACCATTCCTGAAGCATTATTTCTTCAAGAGAATAAATTTCTACTCCAAATTTTATAGAAGACTAAGGCAAAGTAAATTAATCATATCCCAAAACTATAGAAATACTGGATAGGTGACAAGATAAAAGAAGAAACAAAACATACAATTCAGATGTACCTTATATGAATTTCCTCATCACTGTCCATGTGAAGCAACTGCCCTTGTAAACGCCTCTCTTCACTTCGAAGCTGTTTCCTCATTTCTGATAATTCCATAATTACATTTTTTTTCTCCTCTGCAAATTTCAATCAGTACATAAAAAACAAGGAAATCATATAAAGATTAAACATTAAGAGACAATCTGGCCAAGCGCTGGTGGCTCACGCCTGTAATCCTAGCTACTTAGAAGGCTGAGATCTGAGGATCGCGGTTCAAAGCCAGCTGGGCAGGAAAGACTGTGAGACTCCTATCTCCAATAAACCACCAGAAAACCAGAAGTGGTGCTGTAGCTCAAGTGGTAAAGTGCTCGACTTGAGCTGAAGAGCTGAGGGCCAGTGCCCAAGCCCAGAGTTCAAGCCCCACGGCTGACAAAAAAAAAGAGACAACCTGATTTGTCAAAGTTAAAATGCTCCTGGGAAAAATTTTAGGGAGGTTGTTTTATTTATATGAAAGACATTATATGTACTTTGAATGTACACATATATGCTAGAATCATATTAACTAACACTATGAAGATCCACAGATACATTGTTGTTTGAGAGTTTTGCAAGGTATTCTTAGAAGTAGGTAGCACAAGGGAGCTACTTTGTGGTGATGGAACAGTTCTAAACTCTGAAAAATCCCTAAAACCAGCCCTCATATCCCACAAATACAAGAAAAACTGGTGAAACCTGATCAAAGCTGTCTACAGAGTATACAAAAGTCAACTACTTGCCTGTGAATTACCCTCCTCAATCCACTTGATGTTCCTGTGTAAAATGTCTCCATTGGGGAAGCCTAAAGAAAGACGGCAAGCAAGCAAGTGTGCGTGCGTGCCTGTGTGTGTGCACGTACTAGGCCTTGAACTCAGGGCCTCTTGCTCACACATAGCTTAGAGTTCTACCACTTGAGCCACAGCTCCACTATCACCCTTTTGCTGGTTATTTGGAGTTAACAGCCTCTCACATTTGTTTGCCTGGCTTCAAACTTCAATCCTTAGATCTCCACCTCCTGAGTACCTAGGATTACAGGCATGAGCCACTGGCTCTATACTAGTATTTTATTTGCTGATCTCCTCTCCTTAGAGTCTCCCCTTTTACACTCTTGTACTACTATCATAACCACCATCATGATCATTTTGTCTATCCTCCACACAAGTGATAACATGGTTTTGGCTATCTGAACTTGATTATCTAATTGAACATGATAATCTCTAATTCCAGCCATTTTCCTGCAATTGAAATAATTTCATTCTTCTTTTTTTGTTTGTTGGCCATAGGGGCTGAACTCTGGGCTTGGGTGCTGTTTCTCAGCTCTTCTGCTCAAGGCTAGTAGCCTACCACTTGAGTCACAGTGCAACTTCTGGCTTTTTTCTGCTTTTTCTGAGGAATCAAACCCAGTGTCTCATGTATGTGAGGTAAAGACTACCACTGAGCCAACTTCCCAGCCCCCAATTTCATTCTACTAAATAATATTTCTATACTATTTTTTTCTATACTATCTGAATAATATTTCTATACTATTTTTGCAACATTCTACAACTCCATAACTGTTTCAAAATAAAAAGAGAAATACTCTATATTTCAAGTGTAATAGTCAATTCTACCTTCTGCACGAAGCTGATTTTTCCTTGCAGGTACTGGTGGAGACTGAGCCCTGGACACCAAACTTTCCTGTTTAACAAAAATCACAGATACATTCAATATGTCAATGTGCTCCATATTCACAATCTTGAAAAAAGTAATTATATCTATATATAAAGGAAATCAAATTCTATACTGTCCCATCTATAAAACCTACATCTATAATCTTCCTTCTTAGCACAATGGAAGGATTCTTGCCTCTAACCAAAAATAATCCCTTCATCTGTACTGGCCATCTAATAAATGAATACTGCCTCCTCCAATTACACTTTTCCCTTACCTCTTCCTCTGTAAGCACCTTCTTTGCAGCCTATGCATAAAATCTCCTTTTTTACTCACTATCTACTGTTAATTTTCTCTTTTTCTTCACAAGCAAGTCTCTTTAAAGTAAAGCAAATGCATAGTTTTTGGTCTACTTCCTTATTCCCATTCATTCCTCAATACAGAGGTTCTCTGCCTTTGTTTTAATACCTCATTGCTCCAGCAACATTGCTCTCCCCTCATCAAAGTCACAAATGCCTAAATGGCATATTCAATGGGGATGTTCATCACTTATTTTACTTGGCCAGTAAAAAAATGCTATCACTGACACTTTCTTGAAACTTTTCTGTCTCTACCCCATTCTCTGCCTCTCAAAGGCCAATAATTCCCTAGTGTTCCATCCTTAAACCTCTGTGTATCTCCCTCAACATTCTCATCCTGGAAAATTACACTAATTTGATAAGCATCAGTATGTTAACAGACTCCTAAACTTCAAATCCAGTCCAAAACTCTTTCCTTAGAACTGTACTTTCAAACTCCTACTCTAGAAACTCCTCACCAGAAACTTGAAAATTCCTTTAATTCCTGTCTACCATATAGTCATAAATTGCACATGAAATTGTTACCTATTCCTAGTTTTTCAATGTTACTGCCTTTGTTTTAGTTTCTCAAAGTCTCACATCTGGACTTTTGCAAAAGCATCTTAATTACTTGCTATATGTACTATCTTTACTGCCTGAAAAACACATTATATAAAGGTGACAATGTCATTGTCCTACTTAAATATTACAGTGAATTCCCATTTACTACCACAGAATTAGTAAATCAGATTCTCAGAGGCAGGTCTACGAAAGTATTTTTCTAATGCACTTTGGAACTCATGAGCATATGGAATAAAGTTAAAGCCCTCAGCACTCCCTCTAACATCCTACACATATTCTGCTCTGCTGTCTTCTCACAAAAGCATAACCAGGCCAGACCAAACCACTGAGAATCTCCATGTGGCTTAATCTGCCTTCTGTAACTTTGCACATGAGAAAAGTCCATCCTCTTTATGGCAAATTCAACTCATGAATCCACCTGTCTGGAACATTTTTCTGCCTCTCTTGATTGTAAGTCAATCTAAAATATAAGAGACTTCATAAGAATATATAGCTAGCTAAAAGATAAATTTTCAAAGGATTTTGCTGAGATGCCTAGATAAGAACCACTTGCTAGATTTGTCAAAAAAATTCAACTTTAAGGCACCAAAGTTGCATTGCAAGATCAACCCAATCAGTTATAACTATCTCAGAGGCAAATTTATGTAGACATATCTATGTTTCAGATCTAAAATCAAATTCACTGTATCCAATGCAAAACTGAATGAAGACTAACAAACTACAGTGAAAGTACATACATTAATAAAGGAACTTATGATGCTGTCCACAGATGGAGGTCTTTGCAACTTGCTTGCAATTTTGTTCTGAAGAGCAGGAACTATAGGGGAAGGTTGTCTTAAGTGCTGAAAATTTTTAAATGTATTTATAAATAAAGATGCATATACGTACATACATATAAATTATATGACTATATGTTCTATTTTTTGTTTGTGCTTTTTATTTTCAGTTTTAGGAGTGTCAGAATATCATTTAAGAGTGAGAATTGTTAGTTTCCCAAATATTGCTTATTTTCTGATGCTTAAAAGCAATGCTATTTTTTTATATAGTTGGAAGGGGAATGGGAGACATGGTACTGATGTTAAAACTCAGGGCTTGGCACAATCACAAATGATGAATTTAGGGCTGGGAAGGTGGCTCAGTGGTAGAGCACTTGCCTTGCATGCTAAAGGCCCTGGGTTCGATTCCTCAGCACCACATAAGAAAAAAACCGGAAGTGGTGCTGTGGCTCAAGTGGTAGAGTGCTAGCCTTGAGTTGAAGAGCTGAGGGACAGTGCCCAGGCCCAGAGTTCAGGCCCCACGACCAGACCCAAAAAAAAAAAAAACAAATGATGAATTTAAAAGTTCAGATTATCAGTGTTAATAAAATACCTCATATGAAAGTGTTAAGAAATTTAATAATATAATATAATTCAATAATATAAGAACAAGTATCAGTTATGGTAAACATAAATGAATTTAGCTATGTAATTATAAGAACATTACTCTCAAATTAGGATTCATTTTAATCAACAAATAATTTAAATAAAGAGTATTCCAAATATTAGGAAGCCAAACAAAAAGAAAAAAAATCTACTCAAACTAAAAAATAATCATCTTAGTAACAGAATAAAACATCATTAAAAAAATCTCTTTTCCAAAATATAATATAAATCAACCTCTTAAATCTAGATATCTTTTATCAAGAGCATCTTAGCTGAAGGAATTCTTCTATCACAGTAAGGCTATCAGACTCAGGATAAAAATAGGGCAAATAGTAAATACAGCCGGGCGCTGGTGGCTCACACCTGTAATCCTAGCTACTCAGGAGGCTGAGATCTGAGGATCGCGGTTCAAAGCCAGCCCGGGCAGGAGAGACCGTGAGACTCCTATCTCCAATAAACCACCAGAAAACCGGAAGTGGCGCTGTAGCTCAAGTGGTAGAGCGCTCGCCTTGAGCTGAAGAGCTGAGGGACAGCGCCCAGGCCCAGAGTTCAAGCCCCACGACCGACAAAAAAAAAAAAAAAATAGTAAATACACACACTAACTAAAATATAAGATGATTGCTTTTTTAAAAACTACAAACATATCAGCCATATATAAATTTAAAAATGACATGAGCAAGTTCAGAATCAAGAAACAAAATGCATTAAATGATATTAGATGATCTAAAAATATTAGACTATTTTGTAATTAAACCAAAATAGTCATCACATATTCTTTAAAAATAGCTTTTGTGATTGTGCCAAACCCTGAGTTTTAATCTCAGTACTGTCTCTTCCCATTCCTCTTCCAACTATATAAAAAAAAATAGCATTGCTTTTAAGTTCAGAAAATAATAACAGCAATATCTGGGAAACTAACAATTCTCATTCTTAAGTAATAAAGTATTCTGACACTCCTAAAACTGAAAATAAAAAGCACAAACAAAAACATAATGTCACTTTTAATTCTCTTTTAAATAATCTGCTAGCAAATTTAAGCTCTGAATACTGAGCATATCTATCACCATAAAAATATTGGAATAAAAAATCAAACAGTACAACCGATCCCATCAGAAAGGTTTATGTTCTCTGAAGTAGGTTACATATTGGACAGTGTAACAAATCATACCCTAAATGTACTGTACCACACACACACACAGACACACCAGTACACACACACACACCAGTACACACACACACACACAGACACACACCCCAGTACACACACACACACACACACACACACACAGCAGTTAAAATGAACATTTTTGTAAAACAGAACAAAAATTAATCACTACATAAATTGAAACAATTTTCAGGCAAACAAAATTTAAGCCTAATATAGTATACTGAACCAGACAAAGTTATCATGGAAAAAGTCCCCAATCATTCTCCTATTCTGTTATTTACGCTTGGCATGAAGCAGGATAAACATTCCACAAGAATACTGGTCCTCAGACTATGTTTGTAGGCTGTTCTACTAAGATCATGGTAATGAGAATGAAACGGGGTAAGGAGAACCTTAACATTCACTGTGAAAGAAGTGCCAACACTTCATGAAGAGAATACCCATGTAGGAAGTTACATATACTCAGTACTTAACTCGGTACTCAGTGCCCAGACTCAGTAATAATATAATACTGGGGAAGACATAAGCAGCAGCTCTTTTTCTAACATCACCATAACTTTCCCAGTGAATACAGATTAAAGTATGACATTTTGTCTGAAACTTGCCTTTGTTTCATCTCCAATAATATTTTCTCTTTCATAATAGTGTTGAAGTTGCAAGTTATGTTTTTCTTCTTCTTCTTTCTTCTTTCTTTCTGCTTCTTTTCGTCTTTCTTCAGCTAACCGAATGAGCTCTTCATTTTTTATCCTTTGCTTTAAAATGAAGAAAAAAATATACACTTCATACATATATTCCAGAGTATACTTAAAAGTGTGCAGGGCTAAGAATGTACTCAGTGGTACAGTACTTGCCTACCATGTGCAAGGCCCTAGATTTGATCTCCAGCACTGCAGAGTGAGCAATATAGCTACCCTATTTCTCTAAAAGTAAGGAGATACAATTCTTTTCAATAAAGAAGCTGCTTGCTTAATAAACATACTGATTATCTTTCTAATTGTTTCAGTAAGCTTACAAATGTTTTTCAGCTAAAAAAATTTCCTTTCTTTTAAATTTAGTTTTTACTTCAATAAAATAATATCCAATGAATACTTACCTATCTTGTAGTTCAAAATTATTGTCCCTTACAAGTAATTTATTATCTTCTCAAGTCAAAGATTTCACTTTCAAGCTAAATAGAAAACAGAATTATAAAGTACCTCCTCTTCTTTCTCCCTTTTCTTTTCCTGTTCTTCTTCATATTCTTGTTGGATTCGTGCTCTCTGTTCTGCAAGCCGTTTTTCTTCTTTTTCTTCTGCAATTCTTAGTCTCTCCCGCTCTGCTTCCTCTCTTTGTTTCTTTTCCTCTATCTAAAGAATTAAGTTTAATCTATTGAAAATCTAGAAGTTTCTTTTTTCCTATAATCCTACAAATTCAACATTTATACTTTGTTTGCAAGTTTCTAAAAATAAGTTATTAAATGTTTCAATTATTAGGGAGGCTACTATGAAAAACTAAGAATTAAACTAATTTTACCTCCACCAAATGCTACAGATTGTTTGACCTTATCTTCCTTATGCTTCTATTGATAACAAGTTATTAGTATCTATACCTCAAAGGAGCACTCACAGAATTAAAGCAATATCTGTAAAGAACAAGAAATCCTTCCATATAGAAAATACTCAGTATATTTCATTAATTTAATACTCTATATTCACTACTATTCTATCTCATAGTTCCTGGACTTGATTAGTTTTCTAAAACAACAGTGAACTTAGTGTAGCAGTGTTCAATCATTTTTATGAAAGAATCACTTCCCAAAAATGCTCTTCTTTCTTATGTACTGACAGGTTAATGTAGAAGGAATTAAAACTATTGAGATAGGAATATAGCTCAAAGGGAAGAATGATCACCTTTGTGCCAGGGACCAGATTCAAATCAGACTCGTCTTACCTACATCTCCCACATAGCTTGATTATATCACACTCAGCTTATTAGTTGAAATGGAATCTCACTAACTTTTGCCAGGGACTGGCCTCAGATTTGGCTCATTCTATTCTCTGCCTTCCAAGCAGATAAATTTATAGAGGACCGTAATAGCAGATTACTAGAGAAATATTTTCTAAGATCTGAAGAAAAGGAAGTCCTAAAAGATGGCAAGCACCAGCTATGAATGAGGCAGAAAAGATGGCAGGCAGCATGAGTACTAGGTATTTATAATTCTGGTCTAAGATGATCAATATATTTTTAATCTTAGGTATGACTAAGGCTAATTTATTTGATTTTTATTGTTCTTGACTGAATTTCCTTTAACCTCAAGATTGTTCTATTTTAGTGCTGTCAATTTTCACACAATAAAAACTTTAATCTCACATGCCCCATGACTTTATACATTAGGACTTTTTCTACCACTTCCAAAGACACTATCATGTGTAACCCTAATAATTAGTGCTAAGCAATGTTCAAGTACTTATTCAAGTTCAATACACTAGAGAAAAACATCACTTACAACCCAACAAAACCCTATATTCAACACTCAGTCCCATTTCTTCCAATTCCATAAAAAAGACCATACAGGATCACTCTGCTATCAATATAAAATACTATCCATAATAAACCATTAATTATAAACCATTAATGTATTAATTATAAACCATTAATGTATTAGTCATATGATAAGCTTAATGCAAACATGTATGAAAAATAAACTAACGTAAAAAGGGACTAGAAGCCTGGCTTAAGTGGCAGAGTGCCTACCTAACAAGTACAAGGGCCTGGGGTCAGTATGCGTGCAGACAGGAGGAAAAGAAAGTCTCTTAAGGAAAAGTTACCTCATTCTTCTCAGGTTCCATTCCTAATATTCAGCATTAGGACAGACACAGTATAGTTCAATAAGTCTATTTACTTAATAAAGGCTAGATGCTTAAGTGTCTTCCTTTCTTAATAATTTGAGCATTTCGTGGGCTAAAGACTTAAAGAGAAACTTCTCTGAAAAGGAAAGAAGGATGGCCAATAGACACATGAAGAAATGCTCAACCTCCCTAGCCATAAAAGAAATACAAATCAAAACAACATTGAGATACCACCTCACCCCAGTTAGAATGGCTAAAATCAAGAACTTTAATAACAACAGATGCTGGAGGGGATGTGGACAGAAGGGAACCCTACTGTTTTGAATCAGCTTGAGTAATTTGGGAGTGGAGTCTATGGGATTCTTTAAACATTTGGGTAAATGCTCAAAAATGGGATTACTGGGTAATAGAGGAGCTTTATGTGGAGTTCTTTTGAGGAACCTCCATACTGCTTTCCAAGTGGTTGAACAAGTTTACACTCCCACCAACAATGCAGTAGGGTTCCCTTCTGTCCACAAACAAGACCACACTAAAGCTACCAGCAGGACTATGTTTGCAGCATTATTTACTATAGGTAATATATGAAACCAACCCAGATGCCCCTCAGTAGATGAATGGATCAAGAAAATGTGGTATATATACACAATGGAATTCTATGCCTCCATCAGAAAGAATGACATTGCCCCATTTGTTAGGAAATGGAAAAGGCTTGGAATAAATTATATTAAGTGAAGTAAGCCAGGCCCAAAGAAACATAGATCCCAGCGTTTCCCTTATTTGCAATATCTAGTATATGTCTTGAGTCAAGCAGTAAAGGTCAGATAAGGTGATGTTAAGGAAATGAACCCTAAGATAGGTATTCATTTTTTTCTTTCATGCGATTGTTTCTAACACATTTATAAGATTATTTCTTTGTTGCTTTGTGTGTCCCTCCCCCACAGTATAACCCCTGCTTTCACTGTATTTGATGTATAATTTGTGAAGGGGAAGGGGAAAAACAAATCGTTTAAATAGGGATACAGGTGGACCCATTGCAACAATGAGATGTACAAGTCGTTATATCGAAAATGAACTTTACAACTTTGGTGTGGTGGGGGGGGGAGCGGGGATGATTGGGTGGGGGGGGGAAGGGGAGGATGGGAGGGGATGGGAAGGGGAAACAAAGGAGGAGGCTACAATGCTTGATAAGAAATGTACTCATTATCTTGCCCATGTAATTGTAACTCCTCTGTACAGTATTTTCACAATAGAAATAAATAATTTGAGCATTTCTAATCTTTTAAATTTGCTTGCGTACAAAATGGGATGTGTATAATTGCAAAATGTGATTAGCTTACATATAATCTTTGTTTTTTGTTTTTTTTTTAAGAAAGTTTATTGGTGTAGCCCAGGGTGACCTTAATCTGATGACCCTCCTGCCTTAGTCTTCCAAATGCTGGGATTACAAATGAGATCCACCATTTCTGCTGACACGAAACTTTTATTTACAGTGTATACTAATAAGTTAAAAATATCAAATAAGTAGGGGAGAAGAATTATTGATTTTCTACTGATTTATAAGTATACAGAAAGATCCATTCTATGCCCAATATAGGTGAGTCACTGAATTTTAGCAATCTCAGCATTCTTTGAATTAACAATAATCCCATAAACTTTAGAAAGGTAAGTGTATCTTAGCTCTGTCCTTCATGTGTAAGTTTTGTAATAACCATATATGATATAAATTAAGTACTTTAAATAACCGAATGGCATCTTAAATTTAGTATAGGTGCTCTGGATAAAATCTGTATGATAGTATATTATAGTCCTTACAAGCTTAAAGCCATGATCAAATAAGTCTTTTACCTGAAAACGAAGAAAATTCTTATACAATTCTTGCTGTTTAATCTGAAGTTCAGTTGGAGGTTCACCAAATATATTTCCCCGAGCAAAAGGAGAGCTCTGTGTTTGCATATGACCTTGAAAAAATTTTATGAAAATATGTATCAGCAAATGTAAGAGCTAACAATGGAAGAATGTTAATTACCCCATATTTTGAAAAACAATATGCCAAACATAGAAGTCTTAGAAAAAGCTGAGATAAGAAGATCACATGAAAGGAGCAAGAGAAATAAAAATGGTAAGACTAAACTAAAATTAATAGTTTAAAACTGTATCTAATAGCTGAAAGACATTAAGGTAATGAAAGCTAATAGCCTGAACAATTTTCATCACAGTCAAGGCTGTAGAGAAGAATTTGTCAGGAAGAAACAAAAAAACACATATTCAAATTCTTATACATAGCCTTCTTTTTTTATGTTAGTACTAGGGCTTTAAATTTAGGACCTAGCACTCTCACTTAGTTTCTTTGCTCAGGGCTGGCTCTCTACCACACCTCAACTTCCCAGGTTTTTGCTGGTTAATTGAAGATAAGAATCTCGTCAAGGGCTAGAAAGGTGGCTCAGTGGTAGAGTGCTTACTTTGCATGCATGAGTACCTGAGTTTGATTTCACATAAGCAGAAAAAGCTGGAAGTGGCGGTGTGGTTCAAGTGGTAGAGCACTAGCCTTGAGCTGAAGAGCTGAGGGACAGCACCCAGGCCCAGAGTTCAGGCCCCACAACCGACAAAAAAAAAAAAAAAGAATCTCATTGACTTTTCTGCCCAGACTGGCTTCAAATTGTGGTCCTCAGATCTCAGCCTCCTGAGTAGCTAGTATAATAGCGTGAGTCACCCACCAGTCCCTGGCTGGATATTCTTTACTTAAATATAACTCTAGTTGGTATGTAGGCTCAAGTCTATAATCTAGCACTTGGAAGGTATCAGTGGGAAGATTAAGGATTAGAGGTCAGATTGGACTGCAAGACCCTGCCTCAAAAGCAAAAAGTTCTTAATCACATATTTAATGTTTGGTATATACCAAAATTTTTATTTTTAAAAATCAGTATTTCCACAATGGAAGGGGTAACAATGCTCAATAGGAAGTGTACTCATTACCTTGCTCATGTAACTGTAACCCTCTGTATAGTATCTTTACAATAAAAATTTTTTAAAAATCAGTATTTCCAAAATCCTCCCTGTTTATAGTTTAAATTAGAAAATCAGTTATAGTTTTAACAATTAGAATGAGTCTCAATCATTGTAACAATTGTTATTTTAAAAACTATCAAAATTAAGAATGTAATGTCTTTGAGTCAATTTCCAGGACCAAAAAAAATATTTTAAAGGTATCAAATTAATGGAATATGAACATAAACAATTAAGCAACTGTAACATATATTCCCTATAATATATATTCTTGAATGGAAAAATTTCATAAAAGCATTTTGAAAATTATTTTCTAGGAGTGTCTCTGCAGAAAGGAAAATGGTATTTAAATTTAAACATCAAAGAACTTTTAGTATTATTTTTAAATTACTGATTCATTCTTAATACCACCAATCCCAATCATGTATTTCTCCTACTTGTGTCATTTATGCAGGCAAAACTGTAGGCTTTGCAGTTTAGCTATCATTTATGCTTATTTTGCCTTTGTATTTAAATTTATTAATGGTAATGTGTCTAGATGAGCAGAAGACCAAATCATAAGTATTATGAACACTTTTTCCACTAGAAAATTGTCTTAGGAGAACAAACTAAACATATACTTTGTAAGTTCTTTTAAGTCTTATGTAGTGGTAGAGAAAATAATTGAGTAATATCTTCCACTTTGATCAACTGCATTCTAAATCTTCAGGACAATTAAAGAAGAAATATGAGAAATAGCCAGGTGCTGGTGGCTCATGCCTTTAATCCTAGCTATTCAAGAGGCTGAGATCTAGAGAATCACAGTTCCAAGCCAGTCCAGGAAAGAAAAGTGCAAGAGAATCCATCTCCAAAACAAGCGAACAGCTGTGTTAGGACCATAGTTCAAGTGTTAAGAGTGCCAACTAGACATGCAGACTGACCAAGCATGAAACACTAAGTTCAAAAACTTCTGTACCAGAAAAGGATGAAGAGGAGGGAAAAAAGGAAGAAATATTAGAAAATAGACAAAATAAGCCATTTCAGAAACAAAGTTTAAAAAAAATTGGAAACAGTTCCATTATAAATAGATTGTAATTCAAAAAAATAAAACTAAGCCAAATTAGAATGAGAATTCATAAATAGCAGTTCATCTAAGAACTACAAAGAAAATGATGAACACTACAAACTAGACATGAGGTGCATGTCTGTAATAGCACTCAGAAGTCTAGAGAGCTGGTGAGCTCGATACTATCCTAAGCTGCACATTAAGACCCTGTCTTTTGCAAAAAAGAACATTATGAAAAACCTCAAAAATGTCTAGCATGCATGTATATAAGAAGAAAAAGAACTTGAAAAATAAAACTTTGAAACATGCTGTTTCAGATACATTTACAGCCCACAAAAAATATTACATGGGGCTGCCAGGTGCTCGTGTCTCAGGCCTGTAAGTCCTAGCTATTCAGATGGCTGAAATCTAAGGATCATAGTTCTAAGCAAACCTAAGCAGGAAAGCCCACGCGACTCTCATCTTCAATTAACCACCAAATAGCCAGATATGGAGCTGTGGCTCAAGCACTAGCCTTGAGCTAAAGCTCAATTTTTAAAAGCTAAGGGACAGCATGTAGGCCCTGAGTTCAAGCTGTGAGACAGGTACAAAAAGAAAAACACACTACATGGAACATGTACGTATAAAATAAAACACACCAAGGCATACATATATGTGGTATAACACAACATATATATGGTATAACACATACATATATATGGTATAACACAATTTAGGTGGTTTTAGACAGTTTTTCCACTTCAAAAGCTTATTTTAGGTTTTTAGAATAGGAAAGTCTAATTTAGGAAATTAAATTAAATTTAGAAAATTAAATTTCTTCAATAATTTATTTAAAATATAACATCCTAGTACCACCACTAGCAGAAAAATCTGATGCAAGTACAGAACAGCTATAAACAACAAAATAGCTCTGCCATATTCAATGATCAGGCTCCTGCTCTTGGGAAGAACCCATGGAAATTGTTTATTTTCCACCATTTTTGTGTGTTGTGCATAAAGTGGAATGGGTTAAAAATAAATAAATAAATAAAACTGCAGGACCAGTCAGGAATATTTTAGAAAAACTTCACAATGCTAGTTTACAATCAAAACTGTGAACACACAATTGCAGAATTTTATATTGAATAAATGATCATTTTTAAATAGGCATCATAATACAAAGTATATATTCTTATAAATTTCTTTTAATTTTTAAATATATAACATGCTTTCACATGTTGAGAAAGATGATGACAACTGAACAAAGTAATAAAAATATTGAATTTATTTCAAGTTAAAGAATCTTTGACTTTTAAAGGATCTTGTTTTAATAGTAAATCAAATACATTTTTTGAAGAAAGGATGTGGTTAGATATTAAAACTTTAAATTGGCTGAACATGGCTATAATCCTCCTCAGGAGGCTAAGATCTAAGGATCATGGCTAGAAGCCAGCATGGGCAAGAAAGTCCATGAGACTTTGATCTCCAATAAACCAACAAAATGAAAAACAAAAAAATGACAGAAGCAGAGTTGTGGCTCAAGTGATATAGAGCCAGCCTCAAGTGAAAAAGCTAAGCGACAGCACTCAGACCCTGAGTTCAACTTCACATACCAGCAAAAACAAAAGGCTTTCAATTTTCTTTATATACATACTGTGACTTTACAGGAGAGGGTAAATGACTTCTAAAATAAGTAAACACTGAATTTTCTTACGTAATTTATCATAATAAATTGCTACAAGAAGCAAACTGAAATTAATTTTAAAAACTCCTCTCAAATAGCGTAATAAAAATATGAGTTGCAGCTAAAATACAAATAGCAAGCTACAGCTAATATATACATAACAAACTACAAAGCTAAGAAGAAAAGCACAGGGTTAAAAAGCAATCTTTTTCTATTCAAAGTAACTATGTTTTCAAAGTAATTATGAAAACATACTGTGAATAATATGAAACAATGTGGTATACTTTCCAATTCAAAGTAACCAAATTCTCAAACTAGAACTTTGTCAAAACTAGAACTTTGTCAAAGAAGAGCAGAGAAATGTTACCAAACTTCAGAAATAAGTTTAAAAAAAATAGAATGTGATTATAAACCTGAGTTTTTATTTGTAGAATCTTGTAGGTTCTCAGCATTTGAAGTGGCTAAATTTTGGTCTAGAGATACAACAGCCCTTTTATCTTCATATGTTCTTGCATCTGGGTTATGGTAGGCATCTATATTTTGTCTGTGCATCCTATTCAAATCAGCTGAGAGGGAAAAATAAGCCATTTATTTCAATAAACATATTTCTGCAACTTACTGGTTAGGCTACACATTTTTTTCAGAACAACAACAGGACAAAGTTGGGAATAATTCAATGATAGAATGGTGCCCTGAAATAGAAACAAATTATCAAAACTATTTAGGTTTTTCAAAAAACCTGTAAAAAATTAGTAGAGAAATAAAGGATAAATTATTGACAGTATATTACACTACAAGTTGAGCTTCTTTAATAGAGAACAAACAGCAGCATTTCTATGCAATCATAGTGAAATTACCTAGAATTATCAGCTCTCCTAAAGCAACTACATTCTTATAAGGTAGAGTTCTAAATTATACTAAATTTTTTTTGACAATATGCCCTCAAAAGATAGAGCTCAATTCTCTTCCCCTTCAGTATGGTCCAGCTAATAATTCACTTCTTATGATTAGGATATAATAGAAATTATAGTATTATGATTTTCAAGATTCCTTAGTAGAAAGACGCAGTTTTCACCTTGTTTCATCTACAAATCACTCACACCAAAGAAAGCCAACTGCTATAACATAATGATACTGAAAGAAACCCATAGAGATATCTATATGGCAACAAACTGGGGCCACCTGATCCACATGAGAGTCATATAGAAATGGATTCTCCAGTTCTCATCATGCTTTTATGGCCTGCAACCCTGGCCAGTATCTTGAACTACAGTATCAGATGACACTCTGAAATTATTAAACCAACCAACAAAACCAATCACAAATTACTAACTCACAGAACAATATACTGTTTGTAAACACTAAGATTTGGGAATAGTTTATTACTCAGAAATACATATTAATATGTACAGCTAAAGTCTTAGTACAAAGAACTAGAACAACTATTAGTCGATCTAATAGTAATGGTTTCAGACTCAAGGACTCTCCGTCTCCTCTCCCAAATAAATTGTGAGTATAGTCAGCAATGAAAGGAAACTTAAATCTGGATTTAAGTAGTTTTCTTCAGGAAAGCAGTTGTGTTCAAGGATGTATTTTTAACACGAATCACAATTAGAATACCATATAGAACATAGCAAGATTGAGTGTTACAAAAGAGAGTAAAAGTTCAGAATCATGAGAGTTTATAACCTGTTATAAAACCATTTAGGGCAACTTGACTTAGAAAATGGATGGGAGCTTCAAAGGTAAAAAGATTAAGAAAAAACTTTAAAAAATAAATATTGTGAGAAAATGACCCAAGATAGTATAAATATGAAGAAGTTCTGGGAGGTTGACTAAAATACAAACTACATGTAACAGAAGAATGAGAGACAGGAAACTGTACATTAGATGTCCACTCTGGAATGTCCTATAATGCATGCAGATGATTCTCACTTTGGTTCTACAGATAACAGATACTGTTAGAAAATAAACAATAATTGTTTCCCACCAGTATTATATATGACATAATTGCAGCAGAGCAAGAATGAAAATTTGGGCAGTAAGACTCTAAAATTTTCAATCATCTTTAAATTATTTAAAGGTATCAGATTTTTATTCTTTGAGTTCTAAGTATATTTTATTTTTTTTAATTGTGAAAATACTGTACAGAGGGGTTCCAATTACATGAGCAAGGTAATGAGTACATTTCTTATCAAGCATTGTTGCCTCCTCCTTTGTTTTGCCTTCCCATCTCCTCTCCCTCTCCACTCCTACCCCTCCCCCTCCCCCTATCAGATTTTTAATAACAACAGATGCTGGAGGATAGGTGGCCAAAAGGAAAACCTACTGCATTGTTGGTGGGAGTGCAAACTTGTTCAAGCACTTTGGAAAGCAGTGTGGAGGTTCCTCAAAAGACTGTACAAAGCAATGTCCCAGCAATCCCACTTTTGGGCATTACCTAAATCTCACAAACAAGGCTATACTAAAGCTACCAGCACAATTATGTTTATCGCAGCATTATTTACCATAGCTAACATATGGAACCAAATCAGGTGCCCCTCAGTAGATGAATGGATCAAGAAAATGTCATATATTTATACAATGGAATTCTATGCCTCCATCAGAAAGAATGACATTGCCCCATTTGTTAGGAAATGGGAAGACTTGGAAAAAATTATATTAAGTGAAATAAGCCAGGCCCAAAGAAACATAGGCCCCATGGTTTCCCTTATTTGCAATAACCAGTATAAGTCTAGGACAAACAGAAAAGGTCAAAAGCTATGTACATATGACCATATAAAATGATGTTAAGTGAAATGAACCCCAAGATAGGGACACAAGTGGATTTTTTTCTTTCTTCCTATTGTTTTTAATGTACCTAAAACGTACTATGTGGGCTTTTTTTGTTTCTCTTGTACGTTCTTCCCCCCGCGGTATAACCCCTGTTGTCACTGTATTTGATGTAGGTGCCCTGCATCTTGTATATATATTTTTCTAATTTGGGGAGGGGAAAGGAAATAACAAAATGCTGAAATAAGGATACAGGTTGACCCATTGTAACAATGAGATGTACAAGACACTATGTTTGAAATGAACTTTACAACTTGTGGGGGAGGGGAGGGGGTTGGGGAGGGATGGGATGGTAGGAGAAAAACAGAGGAGGAGGTAACAATGCTTGATAGGAAATGTACTCATTACCTTACTCATGTAACTGTAACCCCTCTGTACGGTATTTTTACAATACAGAATTATCAGATTTTGATACATTGTAACTCAGGTGTGAACACCAAAGGACAATGAAGATACAGAGATAATAGCAAAAACATGGTAAAACATAATTGTGGTAGTAGCACAAATTAAAATAAGCTCAAGAAATAGTGAAGTAGAACCTATACATTAGGTTTATTAATTGATTAGACATGCACAGGAAGTCAAAAGTATACAATTTTTACTGAATGGTCAGAAATATTCCTTTAAGAAAAAATGCCAAGCAATGAACTTAATACTACCCTATAAGTAATTCCTTAAACATCAGGTACAGAGATGCAGAATGTACGTTGGAAATAAAACTTTTAAAATGATAAGAGAAAAACGTCTGAAAATCACCTGTAGAGGTCAAAGGAGTAACAAGGATGTAAAAGAGATGAAATAGGACAGACTGTTAGGATGGATACACATGAGGTCAAATAGCCACTAATAGACCATATTCACAAACCAAGAAGAATCTGGACTGATTTATGACACATATTCTGTGTTAATTGAAGGGCAGCAACTCAGAGCATTGCAGAAGATCTAAAAAAGAAAGAAACTGTCAAACCAGTTCAAAAAGATTATGGTAGAAGTAAAAACAATTCAAGTGAAATTAGGAAAACTATTTTTGAAAACACGTGTGTAACACACAAACACACCAGTACTAGAGCTTGAACTCGACACACACACACACCAGTACTGGAGCTTGAACTCAAGACACACACACACACACACACACACACACACACACACAGAGTTCACTGTTGGTTATCCCAGATAGCTTGTTCAGGAACGGTTTGGGGTTACAGACTAGAAATACTCCCTGAGGTAGGAGAGATGACTTAGGAAAGTACCAGAAAAAAAGATGTATGAATGATCAGAGATGTTTTGTCTTCTAGTTCTCTGTTCTCAGGCCTCCTCAGCCAAACACACACACACACACACACACACACACACACAACACACACACACACACACACACACACAACCAGTACTGGAGCTTGAACTCAAGACCTGGGCACTGTACTGGAGCTTGAACTCAAGACACACACACACACACACACACACACCAGTACTGGAGCTTGAACTCACACACACACACACTCAAGACACACACACACACACACACACACACACACCAGTACTGGAGCTTGAACTCAAGACTGTCCCTTAGCTTTTTGCTGGAGCTTGAACTCACACACACACACACTCAAGACACACACACTCAAGACACACACACTCAAGACACACACACACACACACACCAGTACTGGAGCTTGAACTCAAGACTGTCCCTTAGCTTTTTGCTCAAAGCCAGTGCTCTACCACTTGGAGCCACACTTTCACTTCTGGCTTTTTGGAAGTTAATTTGAGATAAAGGTTTACAGAATTTCCTGTTTGGGCTGGCTTTGACCCTTGATTCTTAAATCTTAGCCTGCTGAGTAGCAAAGATTTTAGGTGTGAGTCACCAACTGGACACCTCTTGTTTTGAGGTGAATTGAACTATGCTACCTCCATGTTTTTGCTAAGTAGCTAGGATTTTAAGCCTGAGTCACCAACTCAACACCTCTTTGTTTTGAGGTGAACTAAACTATGCTAGCTCCAGGCTTCAGGAACTTTCCTCTAAACTGGACTCCTCTTTGTTTGGAGATAAGAGTTCTCACAGACTTTTCTGCTTGGGCTGACTTTGAACTTCTATCCTCTTATTCCAGACTCCTGAGTAACTAGGATTATAGGTATGAGTTCCTAGCTTAGAGAAACACTTTGAAAGTATTTTATAGCCCCAGAGAGCTGGTACAGATCACTTGTCCCAATTCCCTGTCAACATCTCTATTTCTTCTCAGCATATCTCAATTGTCTCCAGGTGACTCTTGTATCATGGGGAATTTTTATCCATTTGAATCTGACTAGCTAAGATACAACCTTTGAGAAAACTGACCACTAAGCTACCAACAAGAAAGATGCCTTAAATATCTGTGGAGTCTAAAGGGAGGAGCTTCTGTCGTAGAAGACCAGTTGAGAGAGAGGCATGGTAAAGCCTGTTAGTCCATTTTTGGGTTAGGCACTGAAAAGTAAGGACCTATACTCTCTCATACTTAATTTAAGGGGAATTCTGGACACCGCTTCAGTAACATTTGAACCACCTTTCTAATAAAGGACAAACAAGCCCAATCCCAAAGGATATTGGAAAAGAACCATATAGTACCGAATAGAGAAAAAGAAGCTGGATCCCAGGGGCCCGGGCCTGGTAAGAGCAAGAAGCACCTGGCACTGCATAGCCCTATAGGAAGGCAGGGTAAGCAACTGTAATAAATTTCAAAATAAGTGATCCTTA